GCCCATGAAACTTAGCAGTTATGAACATTCTTATAAAAAAGCACAGCCAATACAACGCATTTTGGTGACCGACGGTGCACGCGGAAAAAAATCCATAAAAAATTTCATTATACTCTAATTTCAAAAATATTTTGACAGAATGTTAATAAATGGTTAATTATCACATTTCTTCAAAAAAAATCGGTGTTGCCCATGAAACTTAGCAGTTATGAACATTTTTATAAAAAAACACAGCCAATACAATGCATTTTAGTGACCGACAGTGCACGCGGAAAAAAATCCATAAAAAATTTCATTATACTCTAATTTCAAAAATATTTTTACAGAATGTTAATAATTGGTTAATTATCACATTTCTTCAAAAAAAATCGGTGTTGTCCATGTTTAACTAACTTTATAAAAAAATTAAAATACACCAACCTCGTAGCGAATAGTCTGCAACAAATGTGACTCACAACAACAAAGAAAAAATATTTTTATAATAATTCACATTTCTTTTATCGCTCATAACAACCAAAAATTATATAGATAGGCGCATTTTCGAAAAATAAACAAAAATAACGACGACGAAAACGCGAGTTTGCGATAACAATGTAAATTCACTTTCAGAAAAATTCGTTAAAGTTCAGTGCGCGCTTCTGCATTTTTCAACGTTATGCGACCTGCTACTTTTTCTGCTTGAACATTTTTTCTCCGTTATTTATTTTTTATTATCTTTTTTTTATACCACTATCTTGCAAAATGTAACATTTGTCAGATTTTGATTTTTTAAAGAATAAAAAAACATCATAGTAGACAGCACTGATCTACTCTAAGTACTTGTTAACCGTAGGTAGGTAGAAAGCTCTAAATGTCAAAAATGTGATCGTAATAAAATCCAACACTAAGAGGTTCTTTTGATTCAAGCTAGTAAAAAATGTAGCTGTGTAAGTTTGAATGTGGTAAATAATAAAAAGTGTGGATAAAAGTCTAGGAGAGAAAAGCAGAAGAATGATAATTATCATTCATAATGAATGGTAATGAAATGATATTGATATCTTTTTTTTATGATAATAATCATCATTCATCATAATGAATTGTATTGTATTGTGCGATATCTTATCTACCATTTTTTAATTAAAAAATGAAATGAAAAATGTGTCCTATAAAATAAAAACAGTGCGAAATATATAATTAACTTACCAGTAACTTCTTTACAAATGACTATTTTAAGTAGCAGTACCAATCGAATCGACTAATTATACCAAAATTCATCCACGTGCCGAAGAAGTTTATTTACATAACGTCAGTGCACTCACAAATATTCCATGGTAAAACAAACGCAATTATTGTTTGGCACAAGGTATGGACAGCCAAGCTTTCAAATTACTTACATAATATAAAATACAGATGTTGACATCATATATGTAGAACATGAACATACATAAAAAGAATAAATGTTGACATATGTTTATAAATAATTATTATAGAATATAAATATAATATAAAATATAATATAAAACACATATGTTCATTTGTATATGCTTAGAAAAAGTTGATGTATTTAAGTGTTGTCCATTGATGGCCAGAAGTGAGCAAAGAAATTGACATTCAATAATGAATGCCAATAGCAACGTCAGTAGTATAGTGCCAATTTTTTGTAATGAAATACAAACCAAAGTGATCAAATGTGAGTCAATTGAGTTAAACTAGGCGGATCATGACCTGGATATCCTATAATAGACGTTAACAGCAAACTTCAGTTTCAGGCTATTAAAACTACCAATGTGTAAGATCAAAGAAGTGCCAAATTTTTTGTTGAAAAAGATAACTTAGTATTTAAAATTTGTTTGATTATAAAAATATAATTTGTAATAAACATCAAAAATTACACTAAATTGCTTATTATGTTTTATTTAAAAAATGGTAAAATGTAAGTTGAACTGATTGAATCATCTTATCTAACAATAAATTTTTATATAGTATGTCCTATAATATGTCACATTTATTTTGTTTTTATTTAATTCAATCAATCAATCTTTGTTTAGCTTCCAGAGACCCAGTTCTCCGAGGTAGAACGTTGTTTTCTTTGTCATCAACTTTTTGCGCCAAATTAGACGATCAGTTGTATCCATTTCATTTAAATTTAGTGCTTTCATGTCTTGCTCGATTGTTTGCAGGACTTCTTTGGACGGCCTTTGGCACGTGTGCCAGGTACTTCAACATCTGCAAGAGAAGTTATGGCACTGTTTCCACTTCGTTTGACATGACCAAACCACCGCAGACGGTGTTGCCGGCATTCTTCCTTTATATCATCTAAAACCAGCACGACGCAGGATTCAGACTAATTCGTTGCATCCATCGGAGCATTTTCATGTCGGTTCGTTGAAGTTGTTGTTCTGGTTTGTTTGTCATTGGCCATGTTTCTGCACAATATAACAACACCGGACGTATCACAGATTTATAAAGTCTTGATCGTAGTGGTAGTGGGACGTCACGCCGCATCAATATAGAGGCAAGGAGATGCCATTTATTCCAGGCTGCACGTATGCGTGCTCGAACGGCAGCTTCAGCTGTTCCAGTACAATCCAGAACATCCCCTAGATATTGAAACGATGTAACTTTCTCTACCTTAATGGCTTCAAAAACATTGCTATTTTGAATTTGTTGTTGTGGATTGATGCAAGCAGGACAAACAAAATTGGACACTTTAGATAAAATACCAATTATTTTTGAACAACGTTTGTGACACCCCTGGTTACACTGCTGACACTTGATTGAATTGTTACCTATACTAGCTTTACAAACCGAACAGGTTCATCGTCCAGTAGTTGTGGTTTTGATGGGTTCACCAGTGTTCATTGCTTTGGTTTTGCTGATGATCTTCTCTCAATGATTTTCTCGACAATTTTCAAGGAGTGTTCTAACAGACGTATACCCCGATATGATGAACAATTCAATGGATCACCTTTGCCTTTGTATAGCGGAACTATCATGCCATATTTCTATTCAGTCAGCATTGAGCAATTTCAGGGGCATTTTTTTGTTTTCATTTAATTATTCGTTATAATTTATTTTAATTAATATAAATCATTGATAGCCATTACATTTTTACATCTCTTTTCTAAGGTGTATTCTAAAGTATCTATTATGTATATCTATTCTGATGGTCACATCTTCACACCAAGTTCTGTATCTAAGCTTGCACATCACTTTTTCTCGCTATTCGTTTGTTTTGCGAATTGTTTAAAAATGGCTTTGGTTAGTGACCGCTGTTTTTTGGTGATTATTTCTTAATAGTTCATAACAAATTAATTAAATAGTTTTTATCTTTTCAGTCTACTGCTCAAAAAGTTCAAGAAGTCAGAGAAGTCACTAGGATAGAACGAATAGGTATTCAAAATAAAATAACAATATTATTATTATTATTATTTATTTTTATTATGATATAAAATTTTTTTTATAAATATATAATATATAAAAAAAATCAAAATGCACTGCAGCTACGTCCTGTATATATTATATCGCTGTATCAGCACATATCTAGCGAGAAATAACTACGCCATATCTTTTGCTGGGTAAATGTATATTTTTCTGCCTGCCATGTGATAAATATTTGTAAGATAAGCATGGAAGTGAGGGTAAAGATAAATTTAAAAGTGAACTTAGATTAATCATTAATGCAATTAGTAATAATAAAGATTAGAATGTTAATCTCATACTTCGATTTAGAATATTTATACATTTAATTTTAATTTAACACATTCAAAATAATATAAAAAAATAAAATAACATAATAACCGTGAAAATGTATTTTTGAAAAGATGAATTCATATTTTCATGCTGAACTTGCTGTAATGCTTTTAAGCATAAAAGGCAGAAAATACACTCTAATGCATTATGCATGGTAGGCGTGATTGTACACTTTTATGAATCTTAAACATTACCAAGCACAAAAGTATACTTTCATAAACTTTTTGACATTTGTAGATATGAAAATATACTTTTATGTTTATGGTTTATATACTATTAATGTTCAAAAAGTACAAAAAATTAAAATTTACAGTCGTATTTTTTTATTAATCTTAGTTTAATTTTAATTTTATTTATACTCTCACTCAATACTAGCTCATATAAATATTAATTGCAAGGTATACTCTTGCCTACTGCTTTTATGATAGCACAGCACTCTTTTGCAATTTATTTAGAGTTTTTTTGCACTATATACAATGTGCACAAAATAAATTTACAATTTTTTCTACACCGTTCATATAATGCACAAAATTTATTCAAAGTCAATTAATGATGGGAGGTTACATTATGATATGCATGAAACTATTGAAAAAAATAAATAATGCAGCTATAATTCACTTATTCACAAGTTGCAGTGTGATAAAATTTGAATTCAAATGATTTAAAATAAAATCATAGTTTCATAGTTGTGATTGTAATTCCAAATCCATATAGATGCAATTTTCAAACCATGACTTTACAATAGTCACAAATGTTCATAATTGAGTACGGAAACTATAACTCATAACCTTGTTAAATATTAGTTTAGCCTTATTTGTTTCAAATCAGGTTTTCTCTATTTTAATGAAATATTGATATTTACCTTAAGTAAGATCAGCATTTTTTCATTTTCCAACTCTGATACATTTTTTTCATTTTATTTCAGGTGCCCACAGCCATATAAGAGGTTTAGGATTAGATGATGCTTTGGAAGCAAGAAAAATATCACAGGGTATGGTTGGCCAGGTATCAGCTCGTAGAGCTGCTGGAATAATTCTGGAGATGATAAAAGAAGGCAAGATTGCTGGTAGGGCCATTCTCATTGCTGGTCATCCTGGAACTGGAAAAACTGCCATAGCCATGGGCATAGCTCAAGCATTAGGTTCAGACACTCCATTCACATCTATAGCTGGCAGTGAGATATTCTCATTGGAGATGAGTAAGACAGAAGCTTTGACTCAAGCCTTCCGAAAATCAATCGGAGTCAGGATAAAGTTAGTTTTTCAGTTGAAAAGTTTAATATTTTCATCTTAATCTGATTAAATTTTTTAACAGAGAAGAAACTGAAATAATTGAGGGAGAAGTAATCGAAATACAAGTTGACAGACCAGCCACTGGAACTGTGAGTTTATAAAAAAATTTTATTATCAACTGGTAAATGACAATGCTGGTTTGTTGAAATTGATGATTTTGATCATGGTATAGTGATAATAATCTTATTTACATTTATATGCTCGTTCTTTCTCACTCATAGAATGGTCAAACTTTTCATAAACACATTCCGGCATCGTGAAAATTGTCAAAAAAAATTAATATATAGTGTGAATTCAAAATGTTCTGCTTGAATTATTAATAAGTTATTCTTACTGTTTTTTTTAAATTGTATTACATTTGTTAATTTATTTGATGTTTTATGTTTTAATTTATTCAATGTTTTTATGTTAAACAACATTTCATTAATAGTTACAAGCTTTGAGTGACGTTTTAGTAATATTTGCCTAAAAAACCGAAAAAAACTTAATTTACTTGATTAACTACAAAAGATTGAAGATTTTTATTTAATTCATTTCTAAAACAGATTTTTTTAATTTAAAAAATTTTCTTTAATCTTGTTTTTTTTTCCAACAATTTAGGGCTCAAAGGTAGGAAAATTAACCATAAAAACAACAGAAATGGAAACCATATATGACTTGGGTCAAAAAATGATTGAAAGTCTTACAAAAGAAAAAGTACAAGCTGGGTTGGTTTCAGTTTTGTTCAATCAATCTAATAATATAAAATAAATATTTGTGTACATAAAAATAAATATAGGGACATCATAACAATTGATAAAGCCACTGGTAAGATAACAAAATTGGGTAGATCTTTCACCAGAGCTAGAGATTATGATGCCATGGCTGCAAATGTTGGTTATTATTGTTTTATTTTATAACTTTAAAATTACCTCAATCATTCCTGTGGTCAAATTATAATAGAATTATGAATTTCTAACTAATCATTAGTAAATTAAATGCTTTATTGTTTACAAATTGTGTCTTTTAAATTATGCACACTAGACAAGATTCGTACAATGTCCAGAAGGTGAATTACAAAAACGTAAAGAGGTCGTCCATACAGTAAGCTTGCATGAAATTGATGTGATCAACAGTCGAACACAAGGATTTTTAGCATTATTTTCTGGTGACACGGGTGAAATAAAAAGTGAAATTAGAGAGCAAATAAATTTCAAAGTTGCTGAATGGAGAGAAGAAGGAAAAGCAGAAATAGTCCCTGGGGTATGATTTTTTCTTAATGTATGGTTTTTCATAATTGTAAATTGCATTGTATATTTTACAACTTTTTGGTCCAACGGATTTTTTTATCAAAAATTGTACTAACATTTTTCTTTTCACAATTTTCATTTTAATATACAATCGTTTGGCTTGAGGTTTCCAATTAGATAATGGCAACAATAATGACTGCCTGCATGGGTGTTGATGCACTCTACAAACGTCAACAAAAGAGATGAAATTGTTAAATGGTTTGAAAAAAAAACAGAAATTTTATCAAGTACCTCAAATGTCTCATCTTACAGTAGTGCAGAAACAAAAGGGTGTCAAAGTATTATTAGGTATAATATGAACATTTATATAGCGCCATATGTACCGCTGCTTCAGAGTCATTTGGAGCCCCTGTACACATATCAAATAGATGTGCCCATTCTTTTTAAAAAGACTCAGTGGGAAACATTGTCACAGGTCTATGGATAAATCTTTTTCAAACATCCAGTGACATGACGGAAGCTGCTGGCCTCAAGACGGAATTTCGCTACAGGCATGGGCAAATTTATAAATGAAATATATGTGCTCTTTCTTTATAAAAAGCATTTCCGAAAGTTGTAAAGGGTCATTGGCATATTTTTAGAAGGCTTGTACAAAAGTATTATACATTAAATAAAATTTTTCAGATCGCTAGGTGCAGTAGATCCTGTATTTTTAGTTTATTAAGCAATTATTCCAAGGTATTGCGTCACATGTTAAGTAAAATGAATAAAAATGTTCTTAACACGCTAAGTTTGCTTGTTAAAACCATCAATAAATATCATGCTTACAATATTTTCACGTAGGAGTGCAATTTGCGATAAAAAAAGAATTGACAAAACTTTTTAACCATTTTGATTTAACAGAACAACTTTCAGCTAAATATAATGTTCTTCGTCTAAAGGGTAATTAGCATATTTATGTGTGTTCCGGTAAACTAACAGAATCCATCATTGATACATCGCCCCATGGTTGATAGGAATGCTTTAAAAGTTTACCAAGGGTTTGTAGGGCAATCTGGCATGTTCGGGGAGGAATATGAGGTCCTGATATGTTTTGATGATATTATTTTACGTGTTAAAACTAGAAACAAGAAGCCAGTAGGGCATTTAAAAATGAACGGAGCGCTAGAGCAAGGTTTGTTAAAGATAAGTCTGACGGTTTTGGTCTGAATGGTCTGCAATTTTTTGTTAAATATGTGGAAGACTTTCTATAACAGAGAATATCAATAGTCTACCAAGTTTTGTTGAGTGATAGAAAACATCCTGCACTGAAGTTTGATTTAGCCAGTTTTACCAGGGCGAGTGCCAAGATGGACGAGAACTACTTCAATATTGAATAAGGAATGCTTAGGAAACTATAAATTACACATACTCATCCTTTGTCAAAATATTTACATATTATGATTTTTGCAGGTATTATTCATAGACGAAGTACACATGTTAGACATTGAGTGTTTTTCCTTCCTGAATCGGGCCGTTGAGAGTGATATGGCGCCAATACTTATTGTGGCCACCAACAGAGGCATCACTAAGTAATTTTTGGTTAATTCATTCTACTATTTTAGACAGAGACTTTGGGTTTGAAACACCCTCAATAAATATTTTTTTTACAGTTGAGGTTAAATTGAATATAATCTCTACATAAACTTTAATTTATAATTGTTGCAGCTCTTTTTTAACATCTATAAAATACTGGTTTTAATAATTTATTATGAAAATTATTTTTAAAGAACGTGGTTTATATAAAAAATATCAACAACCTTAAAAAATAATTCGAGCTCCTCCTACAGAAAATTTTATATCAAACGAGGGGACATTTTGTTTACGTGCAAAGTACAAGCTGCAGTGCCATCAAATTTGTAACTTGTGTGGCAGGCAGGCTTGTGTATTTTCTAATGAAGTAAATAATCCGCAACTGAGTGTTTATTTACAAAACAAATAATCACGGTACAAAACTGAGGCGAGTGACATATGTGATATATGGCGTCAAGGGGTATTTCGGTTTCATCATAGGTAGCTGAACGGCAACCCCCGATCTCGGGGAAAATGTTATCTAAACGTGTGTTGTTATATATATATATATATATATATATATATATATATATATATATATATATTGTTGAACTTAATTGAATTTACCAGGTTGTTTCTTTTTTCGTATAGTGTTAACACTTTATTCATAATCTATAAATAAAAAACTAAATTTCTACAATCTATCCCAGACGATGCACTGACATCGAAACATATAAAAAATAAAATACTTATAAAGATGACTCCTGGAAATTTAATTCATGATTTTGATTACAATAAGAAGCTAATAAGAAAAAGAATAGAAACAACCTGGTAAATTCGATCTAGTTCAACAAAATATGTATTTAAGAAAACATACTGCCTAAATACCTGTGTGCACGCGTGTATTTGAACTATAAACCATTTTCATTATTTCAGAATTAGAGGTACAAATTATAAAAGCCCACATGGCGTCCCTATTGATTTACTCGACCGATTGCTGATTATTTCTACCACACCATATGAAAATGATGAAATCAACCAAATTCTTAAAATCAGGTTCGCAACTTACGGCTGTTTTCTTTATAACATCTTAACTATCATAATCTGGCGTAACAAAAATTATAAATTTGGCTATTTGTTAAAGATGTGAGGAAGAAGATGTTGAAATGACTGAAGATGCGCTGACAGTCCTCACCAGAATAGGCCAAGAAACTTCATTGCGATATGCTATCCAGCTTATAACCACTGCCTACCTGGTCTGCCGAAAAAGGAAGGTTTGATCATTACAGACTAAATCAATCGTTGTAAAACATCTGTTCAACTAATATTAAACTGTTAGAAAATAGTTTAGCTGAATTTTTTGTTTTCTTTCACCAATCGTGTTAGATGTTTTTGTAAAAACAAGCCATAAGTCAGTGAGCGTGTTGCTTTATCACTGCTAAACTTTTTTTTATGAAAGGGCAAAGAAGTAGGCATTGAAGATGTCAAGAGAGTTTATTCCTTATTTCTCGATGAAAGTAGATCGACTCAGTATTTGAAAGAGTATCAACAGGAATACATGTTTTATGAAACAGGTTTCTATAAATTTGTTTATCGAGTTTAAAATTTTATTAAAACTTTTCTCTACTTTCAGGTATAGATGATAAAGAGAGCATGGAAATAAACTAGCGGCGGGTAAACATGTATGAACACATACATGCACGTATATACATTTATACTTTTTCATGTATGTTCACATGCGCATGTAAGTGACAAAACAAGGATTGTTTTTTTGTTTAATTTACCATTTTCTCAAAAAACGATGAAAAAGTTTCAATCAATTTCGTTTGAAGAAATATTTTGAAATAATATCAAATAAACGAATGTGATTTGCTGAATGAAGTACTAAGTGAAAGTGAAATAAATAGTGTCTGAAAGTCCAGTTGTCTGCTATTTACAAAATTTCGGGTCTGGCAAAAATGAAGCATAAACCGGGAAAACTTTGTACAGCAGTTACTAAAATATGAACATCTAAATCATATCGAAAGTTATAATCCAGTCGCCTTAACAAAATCAATAATTAAAGACGAACTTCGTTGCAAATAAAACAGGCTTTTTCACAAATTAAGAAAATTTTTAATACGAATTTTACTAAAAAAAAATTGAAAATTTTTGAAGTAAAAATATCGGCTTCATAATTTAAAAATCAATCTGCAATTCGAATATAAAATTGATGCCATACTGAAGAAAGCAGTTAAATAAGTTTTAGAAAATAGGTATTGAGATTCCAAATTTAGTTTTGTGACGAACTTTTATGAGACATTGACATGACCAAAGTAAAAGTGGTCTTACTATCCAAACAATATTTAAAAAGTATCCGAATAAATGCACCCTTGTAATAAAATTAGGCTTTGAACAATGGCGGTTCCAACATATAACAGGATGGAAATCAAAATAGGCACTTATTATAACAAGCCTACATTGATTGTACAAGCTTAAAAATTCTACTCCATTTACTACTTCTAAAGGTATTTATTTATTAATATCGATCCGCAGCACCATCGTTCAAAAATTAAACACTAATAGGGGCGAAAAAAAGAAGTTCAAGATGCTACGAAGCCCCTTGGCATATAATTCGGTGTAGGACCAACTCCCAGTCTGAATTGCTGCGAAACTGTTTTCGCACGAAATGCATTTAAAGTTATAAACTTTAATGTTTGGAACCGTATTACCTAAGTTATCGTGAAGAAATCCTCTAAATAAAATTTCATCATTTTTCTCCAGAACCTTTACAGCCTCCATAAATGTGTGTGGCATTATTAATTTGAACATCTGATCCGTTTTTTCCACTAAAACTGTAACTTCGAAGGTATACCTATTTAATTTTGTTAAATGACAGTATCTACTTTGGTTCTTATTATAATGACACATGTCAACGTTCAATTCATCTAACAAAGTAGTACAATCTTCAGGATATTCATCGCCGTATGTACATCTCAGCCAACTGGATAAAAATGCCGGAAGCATGCTTATGATACTTTCTGCTTGATTCTCGACAGTCTTTATAGCTGACTGTTTTACTTGAGCGGTCCAATTGACTTTCACTTGGACTAAACTTTGACAGTTGACCATAGTTAAACTTGTTACAAAATTGTCGACTTTTAAATTTCCACAATGCTTTTCATAAATGTGCCACGGGAGGTAGTTCGTTGGTTTGCCTGAATCATCTGGTACAGCAATGTAAGCCAGGGGAACAGCTGAAAGCACAAGAATTAATGTGAGTACAATATTAGTCTTTGCCGATTTGTTATCAAGACTGAAGCCCCAGAATTTGAAACCTCCTTTTGACCAATAAGCAAACATGGCCACGGATGCTAACAAAAAGAGAGTCGTTAAAAGTTTCAACATCCCAGAAAGTGAAAATATTTTTAACAAAGAAATAATAAAATAAACCACACCTATTGTGGCAATGAAGGGGCTTAGAATGACAAGAATACCCCACCCACATGATGCTCTCAACAGACTTATCCAGGTAGTATGTGGAAAAAACATAACCGTTATTCTCCACCAAAAAAAACAAACCAAATGAGGAATCATAATTTGATAAGTTCCAGACCATGATTTTCTCATAGCCATATTAGCGAAGATAAATGGAACAATTAAAAATGCAACGGAAGGCAAGCCAATCTTTATTTCAAAGCAAGAGTAAATGCTAAATGATATTCCTGTGTTGGCAAAAAAGTCAAGAATATGGTATATTACAGGAATTTTAGGCATCCCAGCTAGGATGAAAGGCAAAGTTGCTAAATTGTCAAGCAAGATAGCCAGAATAGCTAAATGATCATATTTATCACTTAGAGCAAACCAGCAAGCAACGGTAATAACCAAGCTGATGCACGTTATCTCGGCACACGGAATCCAAGTTTTGTCGGCTAAGGCAAAAGTAACAGCGAGGCCAGGTAACGAGATGAAGAGAGTGAAGTATGGAGTCAATGAATTCCAAGTATATGCAGATTCAGCACTTTCTTGAATGAATGTATCAGCAAATCGGTCTAGCATATCTGCAAGCACTTTTACATCATTCAGTTTTCTTCGAGAGTAAAACATCTGCATGGTGGAGATGATGATGACAAAGAAAGAAACGTAGAAACCCAAAATTGGAGTGATCCACAACACAACATTAAACGATATCAGATTGTATAAAAAGAGAACAACTAGCATGTAAATTTGCTGGATAGGCATTAATGTTTTTAACCAAATATAGCCTTGAGTACCAGCTGTTTCTACTATGTTGTCAATTATCCACGTAAATGTTTGCCCTGGTCGTTGGAGAACCTGGAAATAATTGAATAATTTGGGGTGATATGTGTGTGTATATATATATATATATTTATATATATATATATATTTATGTGTGTGTGTATAGTATACATATATAAAACATACGTAGTTATATAGTGTACATATATAAAAACATACTTTATGTATACTTTGCAATATAAATAACAATAAGAATTATCATTTCACTGAGAAACTCGTACTAGATCAGCAGCGTTCAGCGGTTTAATTTCTCATCTAGTTATAACGAAAATTTTAATGTATAGAATCTTTAAATTTTTTTATAAAGATCCTGCTCAGCCATTTAGGGAATGTATGTATACCCTGTTAATTCTTAAAGAAAATAAGGCTTCTTTAGCTTTTAAAAATATTTTCTAAGTCTATGATGATAACTACAAAACATTACATATGTAAAGCTGTAATTATAAAGACTATATATAAGTTCTTTATTTTGGTGTTCTAAGTGCCACTTCTTTTTTTTTCAGTTCTGTTGCCCTCATACTCTAACAAAATAAAACAGTTTTTCATGTCTATAACATCTCAATTTGACACTTGGACTAACTCATCCGCAACATTTATTTTTCTTCTCATTATTAAAGCCATTTTTCGAATTTCCATATAATTTTTTTTTGCTTCTCTATATTTTTGCATTACCAAATTTTGGAAATATATTTTAAACTCACACATTTCTCAAACATGAATTTTATATCTTCTCTTTTAAGGTTGACAAAACATTTTTTCAGAACACAATTATAGATTCTTTTAAATTATTCAATGCCATTTCCATTCAACCCATTTATAAACAATCACATCTTCGTTTTGTTTTCAAATACCTCCCAGCTTACGTCACTCATGAACAACAAATTTTTTGTAGCTCCGTGAATTCATTTAATCTTTATTCTGGTTTCATTAATCATATTTCATGTACAAGACAAAATTTTCCAGATACTAGTAGTATCTATTCACATGACAGTTGTTCTAAATAAATTTACTCTTAGACTATACTTTTTCCAGATTATAAATTTGTATGTTGCTTTTGACCATTATAGATTGTTAGTGAAAACCTAGAAATATAAAATTTTTACCAAAGTTAAATACATATTATCCTTTTCTTTGTAAAAAAAATGCTAAATGCAGTATTTAAAGCTGGCTGAATTTCAGTCATAATTTGTCTCAACACATCTAATTATTTTGTTTGGCTATACTTTGACATCAATTTGGGTTAAAATTATTGTAATAACTTTTTTATAGAATGGTGAATCATTTGAATAATCAGGATTGGAATCATTAGCCAGTAACTTTAGCGACCAAGAACTTTTACCATGCAGTTGTTTCATCATTCTGTTCACAAAATCTTCTTCAGAAACATTCTCTTTGATTGCTTGAGATAATATGAAAATTGTTTAATTAAAAATATATTAATCCAATATAATAATTAAAAAAAACTTCAAAAATGAGGCGATAAGACAATAACTTGTTTAAATAAAACGTTCCTTTTACGAATTTTTATGCATGTTCAAATAAAGTTTAAAAGAAATAGACATCATACGTTACAATCTTCAATATTTTGATATATCATTTCAAACACAAAAATATTAAACCTTTTTCAAGCAATTTTCTTTCCACTTTATTTTCTGATAGTTCAGCAACTCTGCGTTTATATTCTTCCTTAGTCAAATGTTTGTCACCCATGCAAATTTTTTTGAACAGCTTACTGGCTGCATTTCTACCTTTTTTTTCCCAGCTACTTGTATTGACGCACCAGTGGACATCATTACCGTTCTTATTAGTTATTCCTAAAAAAATTTTAATTATTAAACAACTACAAAAATTAAAAAAATTGAACATGCCTAGGTTATTAACCAAACATTTTTTGAGAAGTTCTGTTGCATGTTCATTGCCTTTCCTAGACGATTTCAAGAGCCAATGCACAGCTAGTTCGGCATCCTCAGCAACATTATCGATTTCATATTTATTCAAATAATATTTACCAAGTTCAAGCTGACCTATTTCGTCACCATTTTCTGCTTTTTCAGTCAGTTTTTCAAATTCTAAACAAAATAATTTAATGCGTTAATTTAAAAGTATACTCATCACACAAAAAATTTAAAACTTTTTGTAATATTGACGGTGTGACATGTTATCAAAATAATGAAAATAAAAAATATTTGCAGTCCTGAAACATTTTTTAAAAATTATTTGTAATCCTAACTATGGAAAAAAGTTTTAATGCTTTATAAATTTAAAATTTAACGTTTTTGCTTAATGAAACATACAAATTAAAATAGAAAAATCCCCTGATTAAGCAATTTGTGAAAGAATACTAAAGATCAAAAAACATGACACACACAAACATATATATATATACAATAATTTTTTTCTCGTGTTAACTGTCAGCTGGGTTGTTTTCATCTGATTGAATCGTAAAAATGGTGACCCAAAAAAAGACAAAAAAGGCGATCGAGAGAATTAACTCTCGCTAAGCTCTCTCGTGAAAAGTGGTAAATACTTCTCAGGTTACCAGCAGACGCTGAAAACTTTGAGGCAGGGAAAGGCGAAATTGGTAATCAATGCCAACAACACCCCGTCTCTCAGAAAAAAGTGAGATCCAGTACTAAGCTATGTTGACCAAAACAGGGGTCCACCATTACAATGCCAACAACATTGAGTTAGGGACTGCTTGTGGAAAATACTTCAGGGTTAAGACACTCAGTATTACTGATCCTGGTGACTCCGACATCATCAGAAGCATGCCAACAACAGATATGGCCTCCCCATAATTTATGAAATCCGCCGAATTTGTAGCGTTGAGTATTACAACGCCAGAAATTCGGTAGATTTCATAAATTACTGTATATATTGTGGTCTTTTGCCAGAGCATATATATATATATATATATATATATATATATATATATATATATATATATACAATATTCTATAAATTCTACGTTTGGCGTTAATATGTTTGTAGTTCGTTTTTTCAATTTTTCTCACTGAAGTTTTTTGGTGAACGTTTAGTTTATTAAAATTCAAAATAAACTTATTTTCCAAATTCATGCTGCAAATAAGGCCATATTTCGATTCCGAATGAATCATCATCAGTGCTTTCTGTTGTTTATATAGGGAAATATTGACTTTGTCAAAATGAATTTAGATGGAGATTGACTTTGTCAAAGTGAACTTAGATGGAAATTAGGTGTCAGGTTTCTTTCCATGAATTCGGAAAATAAGTTTATTTTGAATTTTAATAAACTAAACGTTCACCAAAAAACTTTAGTGAGAAAAATTGAAAAAACGAACTGCAAACATATTAACGCCCAACATTCGGTAGAATTTATAGAATATTGTAAAAATTATGGTCTATTACCAACATATATATATATATATATATATATATATATATATTGGTAACAGACTGTTGTTAACGCAACATTTCAAAAATTCAACACTACTTTCAACATTGTTCAACTTTTTTTCAAAAAAAAAAAGAAAAAGTTGAACAATGTTGAAAGTAGTGTTGAATTTTTGAAATATAAATATATATATATATATTATATGTATGTATATAATATTTATTTACATATGGAATTACTTATGAATACTCATACATACTTAGCATTTATTTCTTCTACTTTATATTATATATTGTACAGCCAGAAAATTTTCTAAATTACTTCCAATTGTAAGCTTGTCTCTAATCTCTTGATGATTTATTTAATATAAACCATGTTTTGTATCATAATTTATATCATATTTAAGGGTAAAGGGTATTTAATAATCGTTGATGTCATTTTATCTGTTAATATTTTAACAAACATACACACATGTAATTTCAGTCTAAAAATGGCAATGGCAATGGCATACTTATCTTGTTTCTAGTATTATATTTTTCATTTAAGTTAAATAAAAAAAGGTTAAGGACTCATACACTCTTTCAATGTTCAGAGGAATCAACAACAACCAAACAGCATGTCATATACATAAATTCCTTTTTTGTCATATTCAAACTAGGTCACTGCAAAACAGGTCCAGATGCCATTAACGTTAACCAGCCACTAGACAAGGCCATCTTGTAGTCCATCGCACCTTCCTTGATTTTAATGGCTGCATTCATGATCTTAAAATCTATTTCTCTGTCTATCTCATTTAATTATATCATAAATAACATTTATATAATTTTCAAGTAGCTAATAAGATGTTAACTATTTTTTGAAATCTAATTAAAATTTATCATTGCATTGAATGTTTACAAATAAATTAACAAAACTATATGGCAAAACTGAAGATCAGTCATAGGTTTTCCCAGCATTATTTATTTTTAGTTTATTGTTACAAAAGGCATATATGTTCCTCCCAAATGTTTACTTTTTTTTAGTTTATTGTTAAAAAAAACATATGTGTTCCTTTCAAATGTACAACTAAAAGCTAAAATAAATTAAAATGGCCAGAATGCAATTTAGTTTATTAATGTTATCCATATTTTACGAATGTCTTAAAAATTTAAAAATTAAAAATTTTTTACTTTAAAATTTAACAATTAAAACCATTTGAAATATATGAATAAAAGTAAAAAAATACAACAAACTTATTAAAAAGGCTTTTGATCTTATCCATTATTATGTGTAAATTTAAAACAAACATTTTAAAAAAGATTATAATGGCCATAACACATCAAATTAAGCATTCAGAAACAGTGCTATATGTATATGCAGAAATATATGAATTGAGCTATAGCCTTTTATAAATAAATAAATAAATGTATTTGTTTGAATGAGTATTTAATTAATTTAATTAAATAGATGTGTTGAATTACACTTAACAGGCATTATGTAGCACTTTAAAAAACAATAGATTTGAATTTGACATAGGAATTGACTATAGCACTGTAACTCATAATATGATGCTTCCGGTAATCATTGCAGTGTAATGGTAACCGATTACTCATAACTAAAATTAATATATACATAGATAATATAAATATTATAATTATATGCATAATTAATATAATATAACACATCCAGGCAAATGTTCAACAATTCCTATGCTATGTGACTGTAATCAATTATCAATGACACTATAATAAAAGATAAATATACTAGTATAGATAGATGGATAATATATCTGTAATATTTAATTAAGTAGTTCTGCATATGTCAGAGCTACAATAATAAAGAAAGACTAAAAAAAATGTAATTCAATAAATTATAAAATAAAATACAAATTCAAACTCCAATTAATATTAAATTAATTAATAAAACTTATTTAAACATTTATAAATCACATTACCTAGTCAATTAAATAACAGATATATGACCTCTATAAACTTTAATTATCAAACTAACGTTTAATTTTATTTAATCATAACGGTGGGAAGGGCTTATTTTTATTAATAAATAATAAAAACAAATGCGGTAAAAAAACCCAGGACCAATCTTCGGTTTTGTCCCAAAGGCATATTGATGTTTATATAATATTATAATATGTATAGAACACGAAACCCGAAGTTTCTTTTTCCGACATGCCAACTGTAAAATTATACGTTGCTCTGTCGTGCTAGGACTCAGATGTCGTACTCCAAATAACAGCAAAAGTAAGTTTACCAAAGACCCTTACGATCCTACAAAAGTTGTGATTCGTGATGTTGATGCGTGAACCTTAGAACTTTAATTTACTATGGACTGCCAAGAAAAGTGTTGACAGTAAATATATTCACTTTAAGCATATGATAATGTTGACAGTAAATATATTCATTTTAAGTATATGATAAAGACAGACCCATTAAACACTAGACACTATTAAATAAAGACATAAAAAATTAATGCTTATTAATTTATTTTATAACATGAATTTTTAAACTGAAATTGCCTTATTGTATCTCACCCATTTACACTTTACTGGAAGCAAGAGAAACAAAAATGTCACGTCATGCATCCATTATAATTGGTGCAGAGAAATTAAGCAGGTGGTCGTTTACAATGTAAAAATACAACGCAATGACGTAATTGCATGCTAGACAACATTCAGATCAAACGCTTCATTTTATAACTTATATATCAATTATAAAATATGTTTCTGAGATTAAGGGGTAATTTAAAAAAGATTCAACAGTGCTCCTCAATAAATTTGATGAGCAGATGGGTCTCAAGATTCGCTCTGAGCTTTACAAGTTATGGAGATAGCGTAATAGAACGTATGCTGCATATCACGTTGCCGATGGCACTCTCGATCTTATTTTTTCAGTTGAATTTTTATCTAAGGATAGTACAATTTTTTCTAAAGGTGTTTACTTAGATCACAGTTTCATTCATAAGAGTTGTTTTTCCATTCATTTATCATCAGCCGATAATCACCAAAAAACGGATTTATTCATGAGATCAAATTCATAACAAATTATTTGCTCACCTCCCATCCCTGCAATATGTCGCGGGTCCATTTACTGAGAGTGATCCTGATGTTGCTTATCAAAAACTTTTGAGTAATTTGCAATCAATAGATGACGTTGTCGCCCCATTACATAATGTTGTGACTCGTAGAGACGAAGAACGTCTTGTTTAAGTGACTATTTTTGTTTAATGCGAGTGAATCAGTCTGGTTATAGAGAAAATCATTCAACGGAGATGGCCTTAATCGATGTAACGTCTGGATGGTTTGCATATACGGACGCTCAAAATTTTTCATTGTTAGCATTATTATTAGATATGAGCGCGGCCTTCGACTGCGTTGATCAATCTTTGACAGTCGAAAAGCTTAAACATTGTTTTGATGTTTCGGCTTGGTTGCCCTAAAATTTGAATCATATCGCAACAAACCTTTTATGACAATAAGCTTCAAAAAGAAAGAAGTGGATATCGAAAGTTGGAGTACTGTGTTCAGCTTTGGAATCCAGACTTACAAAAGGATAGACATATGTTTGAGAAAATTAAAAGAAGGGCCACGAGAATGATCAAGGAATGTCGAAGCATATCATATGTAGACAGATTAAAAGTTTGTGGCTTGACAACATTAGAACAAAGAAGATTTGATTCAGGCATACAAAATCATCACTACGAAGGAGAACTTGAAATCAGTGAAATTTTGTGAGCTTAGGATAAACAGTAAAACAAGGGGGCATAAACATAAGATATTTAAAAAAATATTTTTCAGCTAGAACTGTCAACGAGTGGAACAAACTGGGAGATGAAATAATATGCACAGAAACAACTAATAACTTTAATGCAAACTCGGCAAAAATAGAATATTAAAAAGTCTCAGAGTAGTCCTATCCAAGAATTAATCTTCTTGGATCACTATAATAAATCTTTGTTATGTTAACTAACTCAGTGACCAGATTTACAGTATTACACCTTACAAGCTAGGAGAGGAAATAATATGCGCAGAAACAATAACTTGTTTGTTCTAATTTAACGGCCCTGAAGCTCCCATAATGGTGCTATGGTGTGCCTTATCGCAATTAGCTTATTCTGTATATTTTAAAAATATTGTCAGTTAATGTTAATCAACACTCGTTATCATTTTAAATCATTTATCAATTTGTTAGTTCATTTATTTAGTTTCAAGTATGATTATCCTTATGAATGTCTAGAGCCATCACCACCGACTATAAAAATCCCAACCAAGCCCATCTAAGAACTGACAAATGGCCAATTCCAGATATACGTAAAACCCTTACCTGGTCAATCGTAACGTTTAAAAGACCCACAGACCGACACCATCCATACCAGCGCAGTGCAAAAAGACCGTCCAAGCCCACCATCCGACTACCGCCTGCGCCTATATTGGGAACCGTAATTATTGCTGCTTCCACTTATTATCTTTTTCTTTCTTCCACCAACGATGGCATGCCTAAGGATTCTTTATTTTGAAAAATACTTTTTCCTTTTGGCGACCGGGCCTCCACAATGCAGTTCGCCATTAATGAACACCTTACACGCCTCTGAGGATTCTCTTTATTGTGACTATTTCTTCTTTGGCAACCTGGGCTCCACGTGGGATTCGCCCACAATAGCTGCTCCATACGCCTCTGAGGTTTCTCTTTATCTTGACTACTATTTATTTCTTCTTTGGCTACCGAGTCTCCACCATGGGGTTTGCCAAAGATAGACGCTCTATGATCCTCCAAGGATCCTTTTTATTTTTATTATGACCTCTATTTATTTCCTCTTCGGCGACCAAGCCTCCATCAAAGGGCTCACCCACGTCAGACGCCCGGTATGCTTCCGTTGCTAATTTAAATTATTTCCTCTTTGGCGGCCCAGTCCCACTGTTGGGTTCACCCACAGTAGATGATTGACACGCTTCTAGGGTTTGACTAATCAGTTCTCATGCTAGACGCGCAGGGCGCGCAAAAACCTTAAAGCACATATGGCAAAAATAGGATAAAAATCTCAGAGTAGTCCTGTCAGACTCAGCCCTCTTTGATCAATTTAAAAATCTTTATTTTATATTTGAAATGTTTTTTTTTATAAACATAAAACCAATTTTTTTGTTAAAAACAATAAAAATCAGGACAAAGGCAACTTTACTAACACTAACAACGAGGATATGAAACAACTTCATAGTTTGTGGTTTGATGTAGTTAAAGGTTTTTTGAAACGTGTAATTGTTGTTGATACGTAACTTTTTCAATTCAACTGGAGAAAATATTCAAACGACGATGTTTTTACATATTTGAGTTCACAAATAGAGGAAACTTATCAAGCAGATTAAGTTTCTTTAAATTTTTTTAGTAAGGAGGACATCCCATTAATTTTTCTTTTCTATTCGTGCCACGAGATTGGCCTGTGTATGGTTTTGAAAGATTAAAAAAGACAAAAAATGATCTTATAAAGTTATCTGAAAAGGTGAAATTGAACACTACAAGTAACAATGTAACAAACTTGAAGTATCAACTTTTGGTTTTATTCGTGACTAGTTATACAAAATTCTTTTAACAAAATATTTAAACGTACTAAATTAATACAAAAAATTATTTATAACACAAAAATTAAGAAAGTTCTTCCAGAGTTATCACTTCTTGAGTTGCAAGATTCATGTCATGAAAAGTTGCGCTCGGATTGAGTTGATTCAGCTGTAAAAATGTATTACATAAGTACAAAACCAGTAAGGAAATCAATATCAACACCAATAACAGTAGCAATAAAACAAACCATCATTATCTATAAGTGATTCTAGAGGTTTTAAAAATAAGAAATTTTTCATTTCAGACATGCCATAACAACCTCAAAATCAACTTGCACCAGGGAAAAACTTAAATAACTCCTTCTTGCTCCATCTGTCGTTAGTCATTACTGTGAAATTTTTGTATCCTTATTTCCTTATTATTCCTTATTTCCTTTATAAACATATTATAAGCATTAGTGAAAACAATAGCAACGTCACACGTTCATTGTTATCTGTTTCTAGGCGTAGCCTGACCAGCAAGAGCTAAAAATAGAATATAACCTCTCAAACAAGATCAAGTGCTAATGTTTCATGAAAACCATAGTTTTTGTCGTCAATAAAATCGTAATTTACTCTCTAATTAGGCTTTTTCGATGATTAAGAAAGCATTATTTTTTCATTATAAACCGTGCCGATCCTAAATATTTTAATGATTCAGTAATGAAAGGCATACAAATTAAACAAATGTAGCTATTGATACAGAGATAGAAATCGAAAATTTGAAATACAGTATACAGAAACTAATTCAAAACAAATGTGTAAAAGGAAGAAAGTAATATGTAGTTACAAGTTACAAGATGAAGAGAAAAGAAGTTAGATAAACCACTGTGTATGTATATGTCTGTGTGCGCGAGGACACATTATACAAAAATAAAAATACATATTGCCACCATCTTAATTTTAAGCTCCATGCCACCATGTTTGAAGAGTCCTGCAGGCAGTCCGTCCATACTGGAAGCTTTAACATTACACATCTGTGAGAGCTTTTTCAACCTCAGAGAAGCTGGTGGATCGTCAAGATCATACGAAACATCCCAACCAGGCAATACTGCAAGGACTGCAATATCAAACGAGGACTGTTGGTTGAGCACACCGTTAAAATAGTCAGCCCATCGAGCCAGGATTCCATGACCATCTTTGATTAATGTTTGTCCGTCTTTGACAGCACTGGGACACTACCCGAGTTGCCAACACCGTCTTTAAATTTTCATAGAATGACTTCATATCCCTTTGATTTGCCGCTGCCTGCAGTTCATCAGCTCTGGCAGACCACCAAGACTCCTTCATCTGGTGGAACCTCTTCTGTGAAAGTTTACGAAATTGTGTGTAACGTGTTTTATTTACACCATTACTTTTGTCATTGATCCAAGAAAGATGCAGGCTGTGCATGAAATGCAGCAATCTGCGTGCCTCCATGCGTCGAACCAGTTTATATGGATATAACGACGGTAACGAAACACATTCACTGCAGCTTTCTCCACGATCTGCTTGAAATGAGACCAGTCAATGCTATCATCCCTTGAAAGTTCATTGCGCAATGCCTGACAGAACGAGTCTCAGGTTGCCGGTTCGTTTAACCTGACCATACACAGTTAAGTTGCTCTCACAACTCTGCGATGTCTCTTGACTAGTTTCACGGTCAAAAACACTGACATCGTGATAAGGCAATAATCTAACCACATTGTAGTTTCTCATATTGCTTTAGTTAGAAGAGCGAAACACAGGTCTCGTTGCCTGATGAGTATGTAGTCGATAAGATGTCTGTGCCCTGAACGTGGATGTTTCTGTCAGCCTGTTGAAAGACCGTATTAGTTACCACCAGACTGTGTTCTGTAAAGAACTCAAAAGACATGGTTCCATTTGAATTTTCTCTACCAACTCCATAGCATCCAAGCACTCTATTCCACAAGATATGATCAGTTTCCCCGCGGACGTTGAAGTCACCTAGGACAAACAGTTGATGTTTGTATGGTGTTGTGCGAACAGCATCACCAAGATCATAAAACAAGTTCTTTTATTCGTTAGTTGCTCTAAGTGTTGACGCGTAGCGACTGGTCAAAGTAGCAAAGTGTCCACCCTCCAGTCTGAGTTGCATTTTTATTAGGCAACGGTGAAATACCCCAAGGTATCTCATGTACAGACTTTAGGAGTGAGTTACGAATGACAAAGCCCACTCTACCCATTTGCGCCTCACTTGTTGGATGACTTTGGCAAAAAAAAAAAGAAACCTGATTTTTTCTCCTCAAACTGAGTTGCTGCAGAAATTATTGTCTCACTGAGTGCAGCAACATCTATGTTGTGACGGGCAAGTTCGCGTGCCACAATAGCAGATCGACACCAAGATCCAGCAAACTACGGACGTTCCACGAGACAATGTTGATTATGTTCCTTTTCATTCCACCACTGAGTAGGACAACCAGCCAGCCGCGGTTTTATCGGTTGGCTGACAAGTTGAGGCAATGAGCTAGCTTTTTAGGACACCTTTTATAGTCCCTCCTCCATTTGGAGAAAGCAGTGAATCACTGAATAGGGGTGCTCTGTCACCCAGACAGGATACGGACATTACTGTAGCTCTCAGCAATGAACGACCATCACGCCAGAGCTGCCTACGTGCCGGATTGTGACTAGACACTCCCGGTAGTATATTCTACCTGTCCGTTACCACTTACCAATCGCCGTAGAGCTTTACTTGCACACCCGTTTACCAATGACAGTCTTCACAAAAGAATGATTAAAGTAGAGCATGTTTCTGCGCATGCCACACTCTCTCCTCTGCATGGGTCGATGCCAGCAGACACAAACATGTTGAAACGCGCTGAACAGCCAATGTAACCGTATTATTCTCGTAGTCAACTCTCCTGGCTAAATTTTAGGTAGGTTTACTCCCAGGCCTTTCTTAAGAAGATTTGAAGTCAGAGTTTTCCTTCTCCTAGATGATTTATTTTGCGAACGCCATCCACTCGAAACTTAGTTATGGCCAGAGCTGTGAAACCAATTTTAAAAAAACCTAGATTTTTCAGGTTTTTTTTTAAAAACCCTAAATTTTTTAAAATGTTGAAATTTTAGATTTTTTAAAATAATTTTTTATAAATGATTTTTTGTATCCAATTTTCTCATGATTTTTGATAATCTTGAAATATTAAATATCATATAAAGTTTAAGAATGTGATTTTAATCAATCTAGTGAGGAATGGATGCTCTGAAACTGAATATAAAAATAAAAGTGTGGAAATTGATATTTGAAAATTTTTTAGAAGAATTTTTTTAAATAAATTTTTAAAATGTACATGTTTATCATTAATTTTGTTAAAATAGCACAATAAAATTTTCAATTTAGTTTTGTGAACCAGGGGGTGTAAATTTTTTTGATCACTTTATAAAATATAAAAAACCTACGAGCTTTCAAATAACCTATAAAAACCTAAAAACCTAATGAAAAAATTAAACAACCTAGGTTTTTATCAGCTCTAATTATGGCGCCAGCACGCATGCATCCTACACACATATTCACAGGAACAGAAGTCACATTTCATTAGGGAAGTCGTATAAAAACAAACGCACGCACACACATAATTATATAAATAAATTCGCTAAAAAATAGCAAACTTACATCCCTCCGAGGATAAGCTGTAAGTAACTTGTAACGTTCAACGGGGAATCCTTGAGATGTGACGAAATTGAGCAAATCATAGAGGTGATCAGTCTTGTAGAATCGCCTACTTATGGTTTTTCCTTCAGGACACCTTAGTTTGATAGCTACAAGTGGTTTAGATTTGTCATCGTGAGATGGTTCTGGCGGTAAATCGCTTGCCAGCGTTTCTCTCAAAAGCTGTTAAACACGTTTGGTAAATTCAAAATTTATCAATTTTATTTGTATGTTTCAAATAACAATGACTAGAAAAACAAAAAAAATACAAAACCAAGTTTAATATCATTCAAGATCAAATAATTAAGTTAAATTGTAACAAAAATAATTTTTGTATGAAAAAATTTTTTCTTCAAAAACTAATTAACAAAATTTAAAATTTAAATTCGTCAAATATTTTAATGCCTTCAAGTTTATAGGTTAGCTATAATAACATAACATTAACATAACATTTAAATAATGAGCGTAGAATAAAATCCATGTGCTCATATCTAATATGTGATAATAATTTAAGTGTCCAAAAAAAACAATAATAATATGAAATAGTATTAAAAAAATAATAAAAAAATAAATAAAAAAATATAATTACAATAATAATAATAACAACAACAATTAAAGTAAACTACAGTACCATATCGATAACAAAATAATCGAATTTAAAAAGCAATATGTATCTGTCTATCAATCCAACGTATAGTCCTCATCGCCTGTGCCAATGACCACCAATTTACCCATCACACCATCCGTCATTTCATCCTGGTCATCACCAATCCAACTTCACGACATCGTCCAGCGCAGACTGCCTCGTAGCCACAACATCCTTGTCGACCCTGAAAACTAAGAAAAATAAGATGTCAATGGATGCTTGACAACTCGACAACTTGATAACCCAGGTTAAGCCACTGTTGAAAACGGGAAAAAAATGGAAAGACAGAAGTGGAATAGACTTGGCAGAACAATCTTTGAAACTTATGAATGTCGAAATGTGAATGTCGAAATGATGAGAGGGGGACACGGAGAGATTGTGGACATGGCAGCTGGAAGAAGGTTGGATTTATGCTGTGTACAGTATCCCGTTGGAAGGATGACAGCTCAAGAACTATGGGGCATGATGATGGATTGTACAAGTTCTTCTGGGTTGGATGCGAAAAGGGAATAACAGGTGTGGGTGTACTAGTAGCGGAAAAATGGATGGATAGGGTTACATAGATATACATAGGTCGACTAGAAAGTCATCTTTAAATCCTTTACCAACAATTATTAAGGTATCATTAAAATTATGCCTAGGTGCATACAAAACTTCGTCATCTATGGGTCTACATGTCATGGCAATGAAATACCACTGCACCTTAGATACACAAAACTTTCTCTTAATTTCTATTTCAGGACCATAACCGACCAAGAAAGCAGCTTACCTATGTACAATACATCTATAAGGATCGAAGCAAATTTCAAGAAAAAACCTAAAACAATCAAACCTTTCTAGTAATACCTTCGTGTAAAATATCACGCAAAAGTTATTGAGTATGAAAATATAGCGAAAAACCCTAACCCTCCTCTTCTTCTCTGGAGAATCAATAATCCTAAATACTCACAAAATAAAAAAATCTAAAGGCCAGCACATCATCCAATCAATAGTTAAAGAAATCTTAAGTCATAACATAAACACTACAATAATTTACACTGACAGCTCATAAATTGGAGAATCAACAACTGCGGCTATAATAAACGGAACAAAAACAACAATCCACTTGCCAAATAACACATATATATATTACCTACAGCTGAACTACAAGCAATCAGTATGTCTTTAAATCATATAATAGATGAAGCCAACAAATCGTTTATAATAATTTGCTCAATCTCTAGAACAGTATAAAAGTGGCAAAAGTCTTGTCAATTTGATGAAGGATAAAATTCACAGAATCATCCAAAACAATTGGCAAATTAAAATCATCTGGGTGCCAAGTCACACAGCTAACATTGGCAATGAAAGTTTTGATGCTCTAAGCCTCACAGCACACAGTACTCCAAGAGCAAATACTGCAATGCTTTACTCAGACATTAAAACAACAATAAATAAATATATCTAAAAACTATGGCAAAGTATGTGGAATACTTCTATACACAATTAAAGCTAAGTAAGCCTGTTGTCGATCAAAAGATAATCGAAACATTCAACACCCGTTTTATAATGGCCAAGATAAACAAAATAATGTTGAAACACACTGACCTAACCCATAAAATCCTTTTAAATAAAACCATTCAGTCAGCATGCCAATATTGTAGTCTAAAGTTAGCAATACAGCATATAATAAATTGCAATAAACCTATCAAAAATAAAAACAAACAGCTGATTTCCTCAAATCTCTCCAAAAACTTCAGGTCAAATGATGATATTACCCAACTCATAAAGTTCCTCAAGGATTTTGAATACTACAATCGAAGAGAAAAATGTGAAGTGCCTTCTCCTTCGAAGTGACGATAATTCAATTAACTCATATTTTAGATAATTACAATGGCAAATACTAGTACCTTATTGAGAGCCTATATGCCGTTAGCTTCAAAAGAAAAAAATTCAAGCTAAAGAATAATAACAGAATAATTATTATTATTATTATTATTATTATTACTGCTTCTATTACTACTAATACAATTTTCTCTATTTTCTTGAACGAATAATTCTTCAAATCTTCGTTAAACTTCTTAATAATAATCTGCTTTATTTTTGTTAGAAGATCATTCCACACTCAAAGAAGGCAACCTGTGCACTTATATCACCTAAGAAGCACCATCGCTTCCAAAGAAATTGAACAAAGAGCGTAAGCCACATCTGCAAGTATCTTGTTAAGATAAAAGACCTCTTACAGATATTTATAACTACGACCGTGAACACCTAACTGACCCACCACCTCCAATTCGGTTTATAACTAAATATCACTGTGGCCTTCTAACCAATCGACAACATGCTTGTCTGCTCAGCACTCATCAGTAGGTCGGAGCCAGATGAAAAATACCCGACTCCAGTCTCTCAAAATAATCCGACTCCAACTCCGGGTAAAAATTTCCAACTCCAACTCTCGACTTCCGAATTCCAGAAAAAAAAATTTCAACTTTTGCATCATAATTTCATCTTTTTATCACTGCTAAATAAAAAATACTTAAAAAAACACTTAAAATCAACACTTAAAGTAAGTTCAATGTAATTGTTTTTCTTAGTAAAATTACTTTATTTTTATGTTTTACAACATACTGAAAAAAACATGTAATTTTATTAGCATTTATTTTAAGTATTAAAGATGATTACTTATAGCTACATATATTTATTCTCTAAAAAACACAATATTTAACAAAAATTTCAGAAAAAAAATTAAATTTTTTGAAAAGATATATAACATTTTCCGGAGTCGGTTTAAAAAATCCGACTCCGACTCCAGTCCCTAAAAAAATCGATTCCGACTCCGACACTCTGCTGCTCAGGCCGATGATCCTTCTGGCAGCAGCGTTCTGGATGCGTTGAAATTTATTTATCACTAATGCCACACAATATTTATTCACGGTAGTCTAAGTCGTCTAGCACGAAAAGGCAATTAATAATTTAAATAACAATTAATAATTTAAATAACAATAAGTATAATATAATGAACGCTATGAAAATAAAATTAACATAAAGTATTCAACAAAAAAACACAATCAAAGTGTAAGAAAAATGTTCACTCAACTCTAACACCTATGCAACGTGGAAATCGCTAGTTTTAAAATCGCTGTAAACTGTTCTATAAAGATCCACTGAACTGATCTACTTGGTCGCATTGCAAATTATAAAAATAAGAAAGTATTAATCTATAAACTCTCTTATGCTTACAAACTTTTCAATTTTTTTTCTTGAGTTGGTAAAATTTTTTTTTATATAGATAAATGCTTGTAAAAGACAAACATTTTTTCCTATCTGAGCTGCTGGAGACAGACACTACAACTTTTCAATAAATAACCGTATTCGCTTTATAGGTTAAAAACGTTTGTTTGTCTTTAATAAAAGTACTTTGCTTCAAAGCTAATATCTTTGAAAATTAATTCTATTCTAATAATTGTGATTGAAAGACCTGTAAAACTTAAAATGTAAGAATCGTTTAATTTGTATGCTTTACCAAATTACCCCATTCTTGAGTTGTTAAATAATCTTCACAAACCTTTTGGTAAATACTTTCTAAAATCTTGAAAAAAAAACTTAATTCTTGGTAAAGAAACAAGTAAAACTCTGAAATACTTTTGCTAGTCCTGATATAAATAACCTGAAACTGAAAATTAATTACTGAAAGCAGTGAACAATTTTTACAGTAACCCTTTTTTCTTCTTCTTCTTCTTTTAATTTGTGAAGCCTTTGCATCTCCTCCTCCTTCTGTTCCATCATCATCTTCTGCAAGTCCTGCAGCTCTTTTCGTTTTGAGTCGGCCTAGCAAATAGTAGAAACGGCAATATTAATTAACGATAACAACGCATTGTTTCGCAAATTTTATAAGTAATCAAAGCTTATATCCATTTCATCTTATGCAAATTTCAGCCAAAAATTTTCTTTTAGGTATTGCTCTGTTTAAGTCAAACAAAAACATGTCCTCTTGAATTTTTTCACATTTTTGAGCTATTTTTCCTTTGTCAAAATTTATAGAAAAATTGGAGAAAAATATAAAAAACTGAACAGATAGAAATCGGGCAAATACATTTTACAGCACCGAACTCAGTATCAATAAAATATTAATCACAACTAGGATTAAGAACAGCAAGTCGGAAAATAATGATTTCAATTTGTACTACAATATAAAAGAAGATTGAATGAATACCTTAGCTCTATCTAGTGCCAATGATTCTTGGTAGGCAGCATCTTGCTCGGCTAACATTCTCCCTCTAGCCTCCCGCTCATCCTTTAAACAAAAATAATGCACACAATTTCATTATTTTGAAATTCAACAGATTTTAACAAAATAAAGCATATATCAAATTATATATATATATATATATATATATATATATATATGTTGGTAATAGACCATAATTTTTACAATATTCTATAAATTCTACCGAATGTTTGGCGTTAACATGTTTGTAGTTCGTTTTTTCGATTTTTCTCACTAAAGTTTTTTGGTGAACGTTTAGTTTATTAAAATTCAAAATAAACTTATTTTCCGAATTCATGCTGCAAATAAGGCCATATTTCGATTCAGAATGAATCAACCGCATTGATGTGTATATATATATATATATATTTATATATATATTTATGTTTGTGTGTATAGTATACATATATAAAACATACATACTTATATAGTGTACATATATAAAAACATACTTTATGTATACTTTGCAATATAAATAACAATAAGAATTATCATTTCACTGAGAAACTCGTACTAGATCAGCAGCGTTCAGCGGTTTAATTTCTCATCTAGTTATAACAAAAATTTTAATGTATAGAATCTTTAAATTTTTTTATAAAGATCCTGTTCAGCCATTTAGGGAATGTATGTATACCCTGTTAATTCTTAAAGAAAATAAGGCTTCTTTAGCTTTTAAAAATATTTTCTAAGTCTATGATGATAACTACAAAACATCTACATATGTAAAGCTGTAATTATTAAGACTATATGTTCTTTATTTTGGTGTTCTAAGTCAATCAATCTTCGTTTTGCGTCCAGAGACCCGGTTTCCCGAGGTAGGACGTTGTTTTCTTTGCCATCAACTTTTTGCGCCAAATTAGACGATCAGTTGTATCCATTTCATTTAAATTTAGAGCTTTCATGTCTTGCTCGATTGTTTGCGACTTCTTTGGTTGGCCTTTGGGACGTGTGCCAGGTACTTCAACATCTGCAAGAGAAGTTATGGCACTGTTTCCACTTTGTTTGACATGACCAAACCACCGCAGACGGTGTTGCCGGCATTCGTCCTATATATCATCTAAACTAGCACGACGCAGGATTTCGGTAGATTTGATGTGGTCCTTCAGACTAATTCGTTGCATCCATCGGAGCATTTTCATGTCGGTTCGTTGAAGTTGTTGTTCTGGTTTGTTTGTCATTGGCCATGTTTCTGCACCATATAACAACACCGGACGTATCACAGATTTATAAAGTCTTGATCGTAGTGGTAGTGGGATGTCACGCCGCATCAATATAGAGGCAAGGAGATGCCATTTATTCCAGGCTGCACGTATGCGTGCTCGAACGGCAGCTTCAGCTGTTCCAGTACAATCCAGAACTTCCTCTAGATATTGAAACGATGTGACTTTCTCTATTTTAATGGCTTCAAAAACAGTGCTATTTCGAATTTGTTGTTGTGGATTGATGCAAGCAAGACAAACAAAATTGGACACTTTAGATAAAGTATCAATTATTTTTGAACAACGTTTGTGACGCCACTGGTTACACTGCTGACACTTGATTGAATTGTTACCTTCACCAGCTTTACAAACTGAACAGGAAAAGTTTTTACATCCGGACACCCATCCTGACGACAACCACCAGTTGTAAGCGGTGGGCCTAGCCTTTCACTCAAAAGCACGCAAGGCAGCGTGGATGCTGTTTTATGTCATACCCAGGACCCAAACTAAACTATTAAGAACAATGTCATATTCGATAACTACTTTTCAAACTCATCAAAACAAAATTACAACTTCTTTTCCGTAACAATGGCACATTCTTCAGCAACTATCTTTCAAACTGAAAGATAGTTGCTGAAGTTACTAACCTTATGAAACTCCATAAGGCTCTATTAAAGCATAAATTTAAAACTTATCAAACGCAACTTAATACCGCAACGGAATGTTTCTATATTAAATTTAACTATTAAATTATTATAATAAATTAAATTAATATTAAATTAAAAACAAAATTAAACTAAACTTAAAACAAAATCATAAACGACTTTCAGTCTGTATTTATAGGCTTCTTTCCATACATTCTCATCAGCGTATATGCCAGGTCATTAATTAAATAATGAAAAACTGTGAATACATATTTTAAGACCTCCTTTTAACGCTGATTGGTTTGAAACGAAAAATCACGCCATAATGCTGTTAAGTTTGTAGGAAGTATACAATTTTTGACAATCCTTTAAAACGTGTTTACTAATTGTAGTTCGCTAAAAAAATCACGCCACGCTCTACAGTTCAACGCTTTAAATTTGTCAAACTCCTTAAATGGACACAGAGGCTGAATATCGACACGTTGCTATTCCAAATACTTTAGAGACTATGGCAAACTCAGCAACTATCGTTCAAAATTTTCAGAAACAATTTCGTAGTATCATCTGACAGTAGATGAGATGACACATACATTTTTTTGAAAACTTGTTTACTAGATATTCTGGTGACATCCCATTCAGTGATTTAAACACAGTTACAGCGATTTTAAAGGTTACTCTTTTATCTACTGTCAACCAGTGTAGTTCCTCCAGGATGGGCGTCGTCATGTTATCAAACTTCATTTTGCCAGTTACCAATTTTGCATCCCTGTTCTGAATCGACTGAAGAAGAGCGATTGACCTTCTTGAAAGTTTATAATACAGACCGTTGCAGTAGTCAATTCGCGATGTTATAAAAGATGAATCAGCGTCACCAGTGCCGATCTATCCAATGAATGTCTGATTCGATATATGTTTCTTAAATAAATATTACTTAATGTATATATCTTCTTAATGTGATCTTTCATTGATAAATTGTTATCAAGTAAAACTCCCAAGTTTGATGCAGTTGCAGATAATGATATCTTTACATCTCCCATCTCAACTGAACAGAAATATAGAATTAGGAATGTATAAATGTGTGTGTATGTGCGCATATGTGTGCATGTGTAAAAATGTGTTTATATGTAAACATGTATAAGCTCGTGTTTGTATGTGGAAACGATCATCATAATATCATTGAACTGTATTCTTTTTTTTATACTTTGTCAATAACGAATTCTTATTGGTTTATTCGCTGAACTACGTGTCAATGTTTTTATGCTGTTTCAATCCATAATATTGTCAATATTTTTTGTAGCCTGTACGCAAGTTTAATTTTAAAGTTCTGTTTGTATTAATGTCTATTTCTTTATTTTAAATGAAATTTTTCTGTTTAACGGTGGTCTATCATAAAATCTTTTCTTTTTTGATCTCCGTATCATTTTCATTTCTTACAATTGTTTGATTTGAATTGATGAATAAATAAAATATTAAAATATTAAACTGAACAGAAATCAAGTTTCGACATCTGCTGCCATGTACCCCACCGGTAGTAACTGCGTTTTACATTCATTAAGCTTGAGCGAGTTTGATGACATCCAATATCCAACCTCTCTCAAATCAATCTTCGTTTAGCGTCCAGAGACCCTGTTTCCCGAGGTAGGACGTTGTTTTCTCTGCCATCAACTTTTTGCGCCAAATTAGACGATCAGTTGTATCCTTTCATTTAAATTTTGAGCTTTCATATCTTGCTCGATTGTTTGCGACCAGGACTACTTTGGACGGCCTTTGGAACGTGAGCCAGGTACTTAAACATCTGCAAGAGAAGTTATGGCACTGTTTTCACTTCGTTTGACATGACCAAACCACCTCTGAAGTTGTTGTTCCAGTTTGGTTGTCATTGGCCATGTTTCTGCACCATATAACAACACCGGACGTATCACAGATTTATAAAGTCTTGATCGTAGTGGTAGTGGGATGTCACGCCGCATCAATACAGAGGCCATTTATTCCATGCTGCACGTATGCGTGCTCGAACGGCAGCTTCAGCTGTTCCAATACAATCCAGAACATCTCCTAGATACTGAAACGATGAGACTTTCTCTACCTTAATGGCCACAAAAACAGTGCCATTTCGTATTAGTTGTTGTGGATTGATGCAAGCAGGACAAACAAAATTGGACACTTAGATAAAATACCAATTATTTTTGAACAACGTTTGTGACACCACTGGTTACACTGCTGACACTTGATTGAATTGTTACCTTCACCAGCTCTACACCGTCCAGTAGCTGTGGATTGGATGGGTTCAATAGTGTTGATTGCTTTGGTTTTGTTGATGTTGACTTTGAATCCATGATTTTGATTGATGGTATTAACAATCAAAATAACGACACCATCTTGTATTACAGAAATTACATGTTAACTGCATACAAAGTAGATGAAGGTATTCTTAAACATATCAACAATAAAAATGTCACAATAACCAACCCAAATAGTAAAGTTAAACTCCGAATTTATTACAACTATAAAAAGACGTCTCACCTAATACTGAAAAACAACTGTAGTCCTAGAGATAACTCTGTGTTGAAGCGTAATCACGTAATATATGAATTTAATTGCCCCTTTGACGGCTGTGCACGTCAACATGACTCATATATTGGGATTACTACTACCACACTTACCAGAAGGCTTACGATGCATAAACCTAGTGGTGCTATCAAATCTCATTTGAACTCCACACCCTCAATCACTATAAGCCGTGAAATCCTCGACAGCAACATCAAAGTAATATACCAGAAGACCAACTACACGCATCTTAAAATTTCAGAAGCAGTCTTTATTGACATCAATAAACCAAAAATAAATATACAACAAAAAATGACAACATCACTCCCAACCCGGTGCTTAATCAACAATGAAAACAAAGAAGTAATAAAAACTAGCATTGTTAATAGTGCCAAAGAAGAATATGATGCTATCGATGAAGAAAAGGAAACCAACGAAGATGGTTTAAAGAAATCTGACACCTAATTTCCATCTAAGTTCACTTTGAAAAAGTGAATATTTCCCTATATAAACTAAATCGCACTGATGATGATTCATTAGGAATCGAAATATGGCCTTATTTGCAGCATGAATTCGGAAAATAATTTTATTTTGAATTTTAATAAACTAAACGTTCACCAAAAAACTTTAGTGAGAAAAATCGAAAAAACGAACTACAAACATATTAACGCCAAACATTCGGTAGAATTTATAGAATATTGTTATATATATATATATATATATATATATATATATATATATATTGGTAAAAGACCATTATTTTACAGAATTGTTTATAGAATATTTAGAATATTTTATATATATATAATATATAGTTTATATATATATATATATATATATATAATATATCGGCTCTGTGGTGTTAGGTCGAATTCATTTTGCTCCGTATTTTCTCTTAGTTTTTGAATTTATAATAAAGTTTGTCGATTAAATTTAATTGCGTTGGATTGATAAAATTCTGCTGAATACACTCATATAAATTTTTCGTTGGTTAATTGTGGTTGATTTTGGGTTACATTAATTATTTTTCACTTATTATAATCTAAATTCGTAGTAAATTGACGAGGTAAAAGTTGTAAGTGTTATAGGATAGTCATATTATTTATGTTGTGAGTTGTATTGTTTCAAAAGTTGAATTGCATTTCCACGTTACTTTGCTTGTTATAAAATCAGACTGTACAAAAAATTTGAACTGAACTAACAATGTCTACAAAGTGTGTAAAATGCATAGTCGTAAAAACAAAAGACGGCGTAAACCAAACCGTTAAATGTTATTATTGTGAATATTTATTTCACGCTAAATGTGTTAATATTGATGAAGAAATAGTGTCGATACTGAACAGTGAAAATAGCATTAAATGGTTTTGTGAAAAATGTCTGAAAGCCCAAGATAATATAAAGGAATTGGTAAAGTCGGTTGTAAACAATTTTCATGAGAAAATTGAAGAAATAAACATTGCGGTTCAGACTCAGTTAGAAACAATTAAAACCATGATCACTAAAAATGATGATAATTTGACTGTGTTGGAAAAACAGGATATAAAAATGGTCGATGAGATTTGCAACCTCAAAAGTGACTTGAAAGCTTCATGGGCGAACATCGTTGAGAAAAACATTACGAAAAATGTAGAGATTATAAATAATCAGGTCAAAAACGTCCAAAAGACCTTGAACGAAGCCAGTGAAATAAAAGAAAGAGAAAGGAATCTAGTGATTTTCAACTTGCCAGAGAAAGAAAATCAAAACGATCGTGAACTTGTGATGAAGATATTCAAGCACATTTAAAAAGACATGTCAGATAATGATATTGAGAAGGTCTTTAGATTGGGTAAAAAGAATGAATCGGTGATTCGTTCGGTCTTGATAAAGTTAGATAGTCTAGGTACGAAGGGGGATCTTTTAAAGCATGCTTCTAAAATTAGGTCATTGGAAGATAACTTAAAGAACATCAGATTGTGTAATGATTTGACGCGCAAACAAAGGAGTGAACTGAAGAATTTGGTGACTGATGCTAAAGCGAAAGAGGCGGCATGTCAACAAGGTTTTTTATACAGAATAAGGGGGACGGTTGGAAGGTGGAAGATCATAAAGTTCATGAAGGGGACGGAAAATTAGATGATTTGTGTAAAAATGAAGGTTCATCAAACGGCTTTGTCAATAGATTGCTGAGCTTTGATGACAATTTCAATGATGGTAAAATATGCCTAGGACTATTAAATATCAGATCAATTGTATCCAAATCAAGTGATGTGTATGAACTCCTGGTTGATGGACTAGATGTGTTAGTGTTAACAGAAACATGGCATGGACATCAAAATGATATTTCTGTAAAATCGGCAATGCCTGACGGGTACAGTTATGTTGACTATATCAGAAAACATGATCCATATTGTTACAGACGTGAATGCGAGATACGAATTGGTAATTAGAAATTTAAGTGAAGCGCTTGATAATTTAATTAAAGAGGCGGAGCCAATGAAAACGGTTGTAAAAGTCATATGATGCACTTACTAGCAAAAAGGCGTGAACGATTGGAAAGTCACGTGACGCGGCATCACCAACTATATAAAGGGAGAATAGAAGGAGAGAGACACACAGAGAGAGGAGTGCACGAAATAGCAACGAACGACGAGAATTACGAAGAAGTCAGAAGAAGTTTCAGGCAGTCCTATTATTGCAGAGATATTTTGTGTGCGTACTGCAAACAAATTAGCGATAACGCCCAAGGAGAAGTTAGTCACGAAGAATTCTACACGCGGTCTGCGAGTGAATTACGATAATCTTCCGAGAAGTGGATACTTAGGATTTACGGTCAAGAAACATCTGACGAGAAGAGCTTAATTATTGACGATTAGTTTTATCCTGTGATTTAACTGTTGATTAATTATTGTTTTGTATTCCAACGATTTTAACGATCGAACGAACGAGTGATCGATTACGTCAATTGCCAGCTCTGTTTTCTTTCTAATAAAGTCATCTAAAATAAGTCTGTTTAGGAATCAAGAATCCGCGTAAAGAAAAATAACCATACTCTACAAGTTCAAGGGGTCGGTTATAACAATATCATGGGGGATTGATAATCTATTTTAAAACAGGGTTCAGATACACACGATTTGATTTACCATCTTTAGCTACGTTTGAGGCAATAGCAACAAGAATAACATATGGTAAACATGAATTTGGTTTGTTGGCTACATATAGACCTGGATCAATGCCTATCACAACTGCTTTCTTTAGGGAACTTAGATGTATTTTGGAAAATATGTCCTTGCTGGTTTCAGATCTTGTCTTGGTAGGTGATTTCAATGTTCGTGTCGATAGAGAAGAATGTCCGCATACCAGATCATTGTTGGAGTTATTTGATGATTTTTGTTTGAAGAATTGGATCGACCAACCCACTCATAACTTAGGTGAAACACTGGATTTGATTGTTTCCAGTAGTGGTTTGTGTATTTCTGATGTAATGGTTTATCCAGGTGGAATATATTCTGACCACGGTACAGATGTTGACAAGTTGTTTGACCTATTTGAAAATGAAATAAGAAGAATTTTAGATATAGTTGCACCGCTACACAGAGTAGAATGTCGTCATGATTCTGTGGTGCCATGGTATGATAATGAATGTCGGGAGCATAAAAGACTCTGTTGAAAGCTCAAAGAAATTATAGGAACTCAATATCAAGTGATGGAAAAGATAAATGGATTAGTGCACTGAAATCAAAGAAGTTGGTTTTGGCCAAGATAAAGAACTGTTTTTGGTCAAATTTGGTTAATGAGAATAGAAACAGGCCAAAACAATTATGGAATGCACTAAATAAACTACTTTGCAAAGCCTCTGTTGACAATATTGATAAGACTGAAACGGTGCACACTAGTGATGGCTTTCTAAAATTTTTTAACGATAAAATTGAACGAGTTCGAGATGCAACGGCTGGTAACGAATAAGTTTTTCTTGAGAGGGAGATTGAAATGGGCAGTGGGTTGCTAGTATTCCGGAAATATAGTGAAAAAGAAATAATAAAAATAATTACAAATTGTCCAACGAAAACATGTTTACTTGATTGCCTTCCAACGTATTTCTTCAAAAAACACATTGGTTTGTTCTCTGGGTTTTTGACAAGTTTAATCAACTTGTGTTTGACTAATGGCATCGTTCCTGCATCCTTTAAACATGCAATGGTTATACCACTTCTTAAAGGAATAGATCATGATGTCAATGATATTACCAATTATAGGCCAATATCAAATCTTCGCTTCATATCTAAGGTAATGGAAAGAATTGTCGCTAACGAGCTGTTAAACCATTTGTCTAAAAATAATTTGTTGCATAGTAATCAGTCAGGATACAGAAAATATCATTCGACAGAAACAGCCTTGTTACATGTTTTTTCAACTTTGTGCGCAGTGATGGATAACCAATATGTATCGCTGGTTGCTTTCCTAGATATGAGTGCAGCCTTCGATTGTGTTGATCATGATATTCTACTGCGGAGATTATGTGAAGATTTTGGTGTAAAGAGGACAGTGCTCGCATGGTTCACATCATATTTTTCAAATCGTACTGAACAGATTTTTTACAATAAAACCTGGTCTAGAATTAAGAACATAAAGTTTGGAGTTCCTCAGGGGTCGGTGTTGGGACCAATATTGTGATATAAGCGTGAATAAAATCAAAACATGAAACTACGCAATGAAATATGCATGAGAATTTAAAATCGATCTACTTGTATATAAAAAATAAAATAAGAAAAAAATTTAAATTGGGATACTTCTTCAGAAATTTCACTTTCCATCTGAGCTCTGTTTAATTCAGCAGCATGTATCAGTCGGGGCATGATTTCGATTAAGGTACCGTTACCTGAAACGGCAGAAAGTTGAAAGTTATTACAAATCATATACACAATCAAAACAAATGCCTGAAAATTACCTTCAATAAGTTCAAGCACTTCATTAGTCCCTCTATTTCTCGATATAATGAGAAGAACAGGTAAACTGTCAGATGATTCAATTTTTTTGTTTATTGAACTTGATGTCATGCTTCCAAAGTGTTTGGTGCAGTTTTGTAACAAGCTGTGCGGTTTAAAATTGATCAAATTAGCTCAATATACATGGCAAAAACAATATGGTCCAAAAATTGTAATTAATCACATTTCTTCTCTGATTTATTATGGAAAAGCTACTGTTCTAGTCCATTTCTCGGTATTTTAGCCTCCTAAGAACTCTCAAGTCTCACTATCGGATTTCATTAAATCAATCGTAACAAAGTTGCTAAGTATGGACTTTTATAAACTAAATATTTAATCTTATCTTAAACATGCTTTTGATTCGTTTGAGTCGTTGACAGTAATGTTAAAGTTAACACTGGAGTCATTGGTGGTAGTTGCGAATTATCGACCGGGTTCAAGGGCTGTGAGGTGGGTTTTTATCGGCGAGTTCGGCCAGTTACTGTCGTTCGTTTGTTTACAAGTAGATAATTTGCTGATTACAGTAGACTTTTACATGCAGGTAAATCATAGTGATGATGTCTGTATGACTGCATTTCGAGATTTTCTTAACTCGTTTGCTTTTGTTCAGATGGTGAGGCTCCATTCATAAAGATGGTAATACAATTGATTTGGTGATAACACATGCTTCCTTGGCAGCACAAAACGTGGTCTAACCTCCTGTCATTTTCTGATCATTCACTGGTCGTTACTAGGCTAAAGATGATTAATGCCAATTATTATAGCATGCTTGAGGATTCTGCAAGTTTTTATCACTGTTGAAATAAAGTTTCAATAAAAGATATTCAGATGCTGCCTCAACACCAGCCTAGATGCCATTACTAATAATACTACTTAATCGATCATAATACTACTACTAATAATAATAATAAATCCAAACAAATTACTGAATTTGAAAACCAATGCATTTCTCAACTCTATACTGTTTATTACTCCCACCAGTAGCATTTCTTCTTTCTGTTAGAAAAGTTGATGATGCTTTGAAAAAACTGCTAAACAGAACTAAATACTGAGAAGTTATAAGTTTAAATAAGGTGAGCTAACATTTTCCGATTAGATTGAAATGTGAGATCCCAAGCCCAACAGATAAAATTATTTGTTAGATAGGAAACAAGTGATTCTTTGCACAGAACTTGCGAACAGAAAACGTTTGAGAGAATGCTGTTGTCATGATGCAGATATACAGCAAGCATTTTTCTCTGCGAAAGAATAAAAAAAAATATTTACAGCAACATTCATTCACGAATAGAAAGAATTATAATGATTTTTATTAGCTATTCTAAATAACAGAAAGACAGGTTGGTAATCAAAAAAGCAAAGGTCGAACCTCTCTTGCTTTACAGAGTAATGAATCCCGGACAGCATCATCGAGACTTCCAATGTAGAAGATAGGGTGGGGTTCACCATATCTAGTACAATACAATACAATACAATATAACAATGCAATGCAATGCAATACAACACAATACAACAAAACACAACACAAATGCAATACAACACAATACATTACAACACAACAGAACATAATACAATATAATATAATTTCAAATTCAAATATTTTATTTGATCCAAACAAAAACAAACAAAATTTGAGATCGGGAGACCCGGAATAAGAAAATAAATTCTTGTAGTGGGCCACCCTGGACAAGATTAGCATGATCATAAAGATAACGTAAAACAAAAATGAATAAATTATCCAGAATATACTAACGTGAAATAAAAAATTAAAGTTTTTATTACTCACAAATGAATGATAAATTAGATTGTTTTACATATGTGTATTCATTAAACTTAATTGACAATTATATAATACAATACAATACAATGCAAAACAGTATACAAGGCAGGCAAACTCTTAAATTAATTCAAATGGTATGGAAAAATAAAATAACTAACCTAAATGATTTAAGTGTTATAAAATGAGCAAATTTTAACAAAAAAAATTTGATAAAAAAATCGAAAAATACCTGTTTTGGAATTCATTGCTGAATGACTCTGTAGCAGCTACTTGGTCAGTCGAATTTTCAGGCACTTTGTAAGAAAAAACGATCAACGATCAAAATTAAATTTCTTTATATTTTAAAAATATTTTTCAAAATTTCATCAAACAATTTTTATTGTTTAGCTTTGTTCATTCTTTTATTTGGTTATTTATTTATTTATATAAGCCAGTACAGATTGGAGTGCATTTGACATCGGCGTTGGAGTTCACCAAGGCTCGATTTTCAGTCCACTGTTATTTATAAGTGTGATGGAAGAAATCACAAAACCGATACGCACTGGTGACATTTGGAATCTAATATATGCTATAATATATACGTTTGCGGCGTGACATCCCACTACCATTACGCATACGTGCAGCCTGGAATAAATGGCATCTCCTTGCCTCTATATTGATGCGGCGTGACGTCCCACTACCACTACGATCAAGACTTTATAAATCTGTGATACGTCCGGTCTTGTTATATGGTGCAGAAACATGGAAAATGACAACCAAACTGGAACAACAACTTCAACGAACCGACATGAAAATGCTCCGATGGATGCAACGAATTAGTCTGAGGGACCACATCAAATCTACCGAAATCCTGCGTCGTGCTGGTTTAGATGATATTAAGGACGAATGCCGGCAACACCGTCAGAGGTGGTTTGGTCATGTCAAACGAAGTGGAGACAGTGCCATAACTTCTCTTGCAGATGTTTAAGTACCTGGCTCACGTTTCAAAGGCCGTCCAAAAAAGTCCAGGTCGCAAACAATCGAGCAAGATATGAAAGCTCTAAATTTAAATGAAATGGATACAACTGATCGTCTAATTTGGCGCAAAAAATTGATGGCAAAGAAAACAACGTCTTACCTCGGGGAACTGGGTCTCTGGACGTTAAACGAAGATTGATTGCTAGGAAAAGGTTAAAAAATTGAAGGTCTATTATACTCTTTCTACGTTCAGAGAAATAAACAGCAAAAGCATAGTATATTAATACATGCCAAATGACGCATCAAACAGGAAGCGTGTGATAAGCAGGGATCTTTATGTCACATCTTTATATAAACCTAAATACTCTCCGCTCATGTAATGTATTCAATGAATCACTTGTTATATCACCAACATTATCGCCATCAACAATCAAAAGTTCCCTTTACTTCGAAACTTTGAAAACTGCATGCAAGAACTATTCTCTTAAAGTACATTGAAATTTTATTATTTATTATTATGTTATTGAAATTTAGGAATAAAAATTTTAAAAAATTAATCGTAAAATCTTAAAAGTTGGCAAAAAAATAAGGTAGCATCTACCTAAAAAAATAAAAAAGCTCATGCAATGGAGTGATGAATGAAGAAAGAAATACTGACTGAGTGGCTTTAAAGCAGATGAAGAAAAGTTTTCAATTTCCATTGCATCGTCATACGTTTCATCATCATTATCACTGTCAACGTCTAAGTCAACCTGTTAAATTGTATATGAAAGAACTATGTAGCATTCTAAACAAATCAAAACCTAGGCTAGATGAAAAGCAATTTGAAATGAAATATAAGCAAAAAATCTTGAGAGCGAATCATTTCTACAATAGCACAGTATATGAGGAACATCTCTGAAACCTGAAACTAAGAAGCACACTGACATTCATCTCGATATTTATAGTGAACTGATGATCACTGCCTAATGTGAATACGTCAATTGTACAAAATAAAAATACGTACAAATGATGCATGTAACAACTAACCATATGATACAGCGATAAATATCAAAAAACAACGGTAAAAATAAAAATTGACGATAAAAATTTAAATATTAAGCAAAAAGGTATATATTAAAAACAATTTTATTAGCAAAAAATGACTTAAAATTTTATAAAAGCAAGCAAGCAATCAACAGCAATACAAAACAGCTAAACGATGAAAATATTTCTGCTAGGATTAAAATGAAATGAACTTACCACGTGGGGTTCTCTGTCAACTGATGAACTTTGTACGTTGTTATTTTTTGTCCTTAAGCTCTTTACCTCCAATGTTGATACTTTTGACATACCAAGTTCAGATATGGTCATCTTAGTGAAAAAATATTTGATACGAAAAAATAAGTTGGAGAAATTATAAAATGCAACTTAAATATTAAAGTAAAGAAAAAATAGATGAAAGTTATTAATAACAATGCAAATAAGAGACCTTATCGGAGAAATGTGCGTGAGCTGGCCAACCCGTCCAAACCTGGTGCCTCATTGGTATCGACCAGCAACAATATACATCATTTTTCAACTGTTTTGAAAACAAGAAATTTTCAACTTTTTGAAAAATTGTTAGACATTGATCAGAAATCAGTAAAATATTATGAAACTGTTAATAAAAGTAAAACTAAAATGAAGAAGAGTAGATATGAAAAGCTGCTTCTATATTGATGCGGCGTGACGTCCCACTACCACTACGATCAAGACTTTATAAATCTGTGATACGTCCGGTGTTGTTATATGGTGCAGGAACATGGCCAATGACAAACAAACTGGAACAACAACTTCAACGAACCGACATGAAAATGGTCTGATGGATGCAACGAATTAGTCTGAAGGACCACATCAAATCTACCGAAATCCTGCGTCGTGCTGGTTTAGATGATATAAAGTAAGAATGTCGGAAACACCGTCTGAGGTGGTTTGGTCATGTCAAATGAAGTGGAGACAGTGCCATAACTTCTCTTGCAGATGTTGAAGTACCTGGCTCAAGAAGTCCTGGTCGCAAACAATCGAGCAAGACATGATAGCTCTAAATTTAAATGAAATGGATACAACTGATCGTCTAATTTGGCGCAAAAAGTTGATGGCAAAGAAAACAACGTCCTACCTCGGGAAACTGGGTCTCTGGACGCTAAACGAAGATTGATTGATTGATAGATATGAAAAGCTGCTGAACAAATAATGAAATGTATAGAGGTGCATATACATGTATAAATAGTTGACATTTTTGCATCAAAAACCAAAATTTCAAAATAAATAAGACTGCAAAGACTGCAATAAGAAATATTTAGTGTATAGAAAAAAGTGTAATCATTTATTTTCTAATAGGTAAATTTCATACCAAATCATTTAAAATTAAGTCAACCAACATTCAAAAATCTACAACATCATATACTGGACATCATTTACAGAAGTAGTCGAGTAGACATGCCAGAACAATTCATATTAAAAAGAAATTGTAAAACTAAACAATAATATCTAAATTTTGAAAATAAAAAGTGCTAATCAATAATAAAAAATAATGCAAATATAATAAACTTTATAGGCACACCTCTTCAACGGTTTTCTGGCCCAAGCATTTGATATTTATTTCTTGCTTGGTGTCTGTATTCTTTATTAACAAGCTGTACTCTTCCAACACGGGATCTCCCCTGCAAATATTATTCAAGTTGAGATAATTACAAAACTACAAAACTAATATTATTAATTTTTAAATTATCAATAACAACGGTGAACTCAAATGTTAAATAAATTCAAATTATTATCTTAACGGATGATATAAAACATTGTTCAAAATTGTAGCTAGTGTGTTTTCTTTAATACACATTTTTTAGCATCACTGTTCCATTTTGATTCGCCGTGTGTCAAAGGAAAATAAGGAAAAAAACACCAAATTGAATAAAGAGATCTGTCTATCAGCTGACGGCACTAAGTTTATACTTGAAGCAGTGTGGACATAAATTGTTGAAAAAATTAGATTAATTATTGGTAGCTAGCTAGTTCTGGCAGTTGTAAATCTGTTTTCGCTATCTCAAAAGGAAGTTTGGTTCATAAGTTAAAAAATGAACCACTTATAATAAACGTAGTAATTTTGCAGAATACACCTAGCTGACAAGTATTAAATACTTTGACTGTTATATTGTAGATCAAGATTAAAGTTGGTACATAATGATGTTTACACTTATCTAGCGCAGTAGTTGCATGATAGTAAAGAGAGAAAATGCTTTTGTAATGCGGTAACCAAAAAATAACCACATTCATGTTTAAAAAGTTAATAATTGCATATAAAGCTAGACGATTTAAGGACATCGGCTCGTAATGAAAATTGTAAAAACTAATTTTAAAATAAATTTATAAAAACATTGATTGCAAGTAGAATAATCTTTATGTTTGTCAATGTTTTTTGATAAGTTGGATAGTAATTTTGGAGATCCAAGATGACCGGTTTTAAAAACAGATTGCGCTCCACAATCGAGTATGCAGTTCTTCCTGGTCCCCGCTGACGTCCGACACCGGTTTCAACCGCCTCCAACGCACTCAAAATGCTGCCCTTCGCCTGATCACAAGCTGCCATAAAATCACGTCGGAGCAGCACCTGCACTCAGAATGCCAGATGCTAACCCTAAAGCAACATTCTGATCTTATCTCCTCCCAACTACTTCTACAATGCCATAACCCTAGCCATCGCGCCACATCATCACAAAACAACCTCCATCCGATCGAAGCTTGAAGACCACCCTCAGTTCGAGATGGATGAAGACGGTAAACTCTGTGCTGCCAGTTGCCATTGACTACGCCTCCTTGAAAACTGCCTCATCCATCCTCCAAAGTAACGCCGCCAAAGCCGCCTCTGAGTCATATATGGCGCCAGTGCTGCTCAACGGATGGCCTCCCCTAAAATAGAAAAATCTGAAGAAAGTTTGCCCAGGGCAATCAGACGGACCCTTGCCCAGCTCCGCTCTGGCCACAGCATCTTTCTCGGCAGCTACAAATCAAGAATCGACAGTGGGGTCAACAACATCTGTCCTTTCTGCCACCAATAACCATACGATGTCCCCCATCTGTTCAGCTGCCTCAAAAATCGCACACATCTAAAAATAATAGATCTGTGGAGGAACCCGGTGGAAGTGGCAAACTGGTTTGGGGCTCCCCTGGACGTCTAGGAAGGGCAACAGCAGCAACAACAGATTGTGCTATTATAATTGTGTAATGGTTTCAATATTGATGGATTGCTGTGATAGAATTGAATTTTGATAGTTTTGAGTCAATGGATTGTATAAAGTTGATAGGTTGGTTAGGTGCAATGATCGTGCCAATAAATTTTATTTAAGTGATGTTGTGTTGAAGTGTCACATTGAATGCAATCTGCCACAACATGAGAGTCGGCAATAATATAAAATGAAGATAAACAAAATAAAATAGACAACATATAAAAAATAAAATATTAAATTATATATAAATTGTTATTAACACAAAATTGAAAAACATACAAAGAACTTATTTCTATCATCACGTTATTTTAATAATTAAAACTTGCAAATCATTAAAAAAAACTTTAAAATACATTTTGTTTTCAGGGTTTGATACAACAGGTAGATCTGGAGTCAATATGAACAATGTGTTGTCCAGCGGAAGATGGAGATCTCGCAAAACATCCTTCATAGACAAGAATGAATTGAAATCAAATAATTAATGGAGTATCAAAATATCAAACATAATTTACAACCATTTCGCTTACACCAAGCCTTATATAGCATTATACCTAAATGTTCATCTTTTATCCGTATGCATATTTATACACAAAATTCCGGATAATATTAAATATTATCAAATCAAATTTTGATAATCTGCCCATAGGTCGTCACGACCTCACCTACAATACTTGCCACGTGGAATAGATTAACGATGAACGTAAAAAAAATCGAATTTCCATCTGTTTTTCACTACATCAACTTAATCGGTTAAATTAACTCTTATTACAATGAGTAGAGCAAAAATAAAAAATTCAATAATTTATTGAGAACTTACACTGTCCATGACGAGATGATCGTTCTTGTGTACCCATCCACATAGATTGAATTTCGATATTGGAACTCTTATCATTTCGCTTAAAATTGTTTTTAAATCACCTGAAAATAAAAATCATATTGAATTATTTTCAACCTTATAATGCATTCTTACTTCTCATTTGACTTGAACGTGTACTTATATGAATGCAATATGCATTGGTTGAGTTTTTTAAACTTAATCAAATAATTTGTAAAATTTAAATTTTGTCCTTGTAAACGCAATACATGGCAAAGGATTTTCCGTGGACTGCAGTTTTGATGAAAAAGTTTAAAACATCTACCATGCAAAGTAACCTAGCATCTTTTTATTGCAGGTCTTTTGTACACTCCTCCCACACTGTTCTCCCATCTTTGACCTTTTTTCCCAAACATTTATGCGTCCTTTAAAGGGTTCTTACTAAGAATGTGACGGTTCAGAATTCGGATAAGGACCCGAATCTCGAGATCTGGTAAGATAAGAATTCGTCGAATCCAACACAACAGATTAAGTGAAAATCGGATTCTTGATTATCGAACAAGGTTGAATTTAAAAAGATAGTATAATATAGTATAATTGAATAGTTTTAACTACAAGCAGAAAAGAAAAATTGTATAAACTTACAAAACGTGTTTGTAACTAGAGTAAAATTTAACATTAAATGTCATTTCCAAATAACGTGGTGAAATGGTGTGGGTTTAATCGTGATGAGCCAAATTGTTGATTGTTCTGTTCGCAGTTTTCTAAATCAGAATGAATTTTGGTTTGAAACACACTTAATTATGAACGCGCATGCACCTTGAATCAGGATTTGGATCCGTATGAATCCATCACTTGGGTTCAAATACCACAAATCTCATTCTCTCGGATTCGTCCTATTCCTAATTCTGACCATGAAATCAACAGTCATAAGGAACTGAAGAGTATAGCATACATGGTTACGAATTGAGCATCAAATGCTATTGATTGCACGATAACTTTAAAATTGTGGTATGGCTTGATTACGCTAATCTTCAGGGTATGATATTATTGATGATTCATTGTTAATATTTTGTTCAACAGACCGGTGCTAAAAATTTCTTTGCTCTGAATTATTGTATTACCATGCATATGGCGTAACAGTTTTTCAAAAATATTGTCTTTATTATCAACAATAAAAAAATCTTAGAGAGCTACTGTCATGTTTCAATTTCAATTCCAACATTTAATGCTGACAAATAGCTAACTAATTTATCCACCATGATTGAAAACGTACCAGGTGACCCACCATCACGATGGCGTAATGGTTAAAGGCGCCTGTTTGGTCCTGCTGTTGCAGTGACTAGGTTCGAATGCAGAGAGATCACCGCCTATCACATGCAATGTGTATTCATATACGCTCCATATGATAATTTTGAGAACATCAATATATATAACCTAATAAAAAGTTAAAGAAACAAATATTATTTAAAACCACGCTCACGTATGTGAAATTTTAACAGTTTTATAGAAAAAATTTAGCATTAAATTAATTTTATATAAAAATAATTTTTCATAGAAACTTTTTTACCTTATTGTTCAACAAACCAGGAAGAGCAGTGCCTAGGAGTAAAAAGAAAAAAGAATAGTATCGTTTGGACTGACTGGAAACATGTTTAGTCCCTACTGAACACTCATCAGCAGCTTGAATACTTATCAGAATGGTATTGCAGTTTTTCCTTATATAGCCCCACGAATTACTTCATTAGTTTGTGGCATTTTCATTTGTTTTTGAGGATCGTTAGTTTTAATCATTATGATTTGCCATGCGACAGTACAAAAAGAAAAGTTAAGAACAACCTAGCTTTTTTTAATTTCAGAAACAGAAAATTGTGGTCTTTTGCTAAATATAACTAATTTTCTAACTTTTTCGAACAATGATTATTTTTTCTGCATACGCACCACAGACAGGCGAATCAGAAGAGATGAAAAATGACTTCTGGACTGACTGCATTCTCTGACACCATCTCAACAATATCAAAATCTGAAACAATCCTGAATGGAGGCGATCTCAATGGCCACGTTGGAGAGAAAATAGATGGTTTTGACATCGTACATGGCGGTTTTGGCTATGGAAAACGGAATGAAGATGGCAACCGCATCCTTGAGTTTGCTGAAAGTCACGGGTTTTGTTTACTGAATACATATTTTGGAAAGAGGTTGGAACATCTCATAACATCATGTGTCGCCCAACATAGACTCCTTGTGGCAGACCTGGTTGTCGAACTGTCTGACAAAACATAAGTCTAAACAAATGCCTCGAAGAATCAAAACGTGGAAGCTGAAAAGCAATGTTCATCGAGAAACATTTCAACAGATTGTCGCCACACAGTTAGACCACCAATCGCAAACCAGTACAGATTGGAGTACATACAAAACCGTTTTGATGAACGCTGCAACTACAGTTTGTGGGAAAACTGGTACAAAACGTCAGCATGAACGGGACACTTGGTGGTGGAATGACAGTGTACAAAATGTAATAGCTGAAAAGAAAGTTGCATACAAGCAATGGCAAAAATCAAAGTCTGTTGATGACCATAAAATTTTCCGTGAGAAGAACAACTATGCAAGACGTCAAGTTGCACTGGCTCGGACAGATCAGTGCAAAGAGTGGCTCACTAAAAGCAAAGGCGAACAAATGAAATCTCAGTATCGTATAGCAAAACAAGCAAAGCGTACGAAAAAAGACATAGTTGGTGCCTCATGTATTAAAAATGACAAAAATGAGATGGTTCTTGAACAAGATGAGATCAAGCTACAGTGGAGAGAATACTTCAACCGTCTGTTAAACGAAACAAATCCCATCAATGTCAACTTTGACGCTCCACCCATCGAAGGTCCGATTCCAGACATCACTGTAGAGGAGCTTACAGAAGCTCTGAAAACTATGAAGGATGGAAAGGCAGCAGGGATCTAGACTAAATGACATTATCAAAGCATCTGGTACTGCAGGTATCCAAACGTTACTACAACTTTGCCGTGAAATTTGAAGAAATTGCTCAATGCCGACTGAATGGAACTTTAGCATGACAGTCCCGTTATACAAAGGTAAAGGTGATCCATTGAGCTGTTCGTCATATCGGGGTATACGTCTGTTACAACACTCCCTGAAAATTGTCGAGAAAATCATTATCAATTTGGTTTCCTAGCGGGGAAATCAACAATTGATGCAATTCACATCCCTCGGCAACTGCAAGAGAAGTACCTCGCAATCAACAACTATCAGACATTTTTGTAGACCTTGAAAAAGCATTTGATCGAGTTCCCCGTGAAGCAATCAGGTGGAGTCTACGTCGAAAACTCATTCCAGAATATCTTGTTCGACTTGTGATGGAAATGTATACGAATACTAAGACTCTTGTCAGCACTACGGTTGGAAACACAAATGCATTAGACATCGGCGTTGGAGTTGTTAGGCTCGATTCTCAGTCCACTGTTATTTATAACTGTGATGGGAGAAATCACAAAACCGATACGCACTAGTGACATAGGGAATCTAGTATATGCTGATGATATCGTTTTAACAGCCACGTCTGAGCAGAATGCAGCACAGATGTTTGAAGATTGGAACACCAGACTCGCCGATCATGGATTCAAAGTCAACATCAGCAAAACCAAAGCAATGAACACTGGTGAACCCATCCAATCCACAGCTACTGGACGATGGCCCTGTTCAGTTTGTAAAGCTGGTGTAGGTAACAATTCAATCAAGTGTCAGCAGTGTAACCAGTGGTGTCACAAACGTTGTTCAAAAATAATTGGTACTTTATCTAAAGTGTCCAATTTTGTTTGTCCTACTTGCATCAATCCACAAAAACAAATTCGAAATAGCACTGTTTTTGAAGCCATTAAAATAGAGAAAGTCACATCGTTTCAATATCTAGGGGATGTTCTGGATTGTACTGGAACAGCTGAAGCTGCCGTTCGAGCACGCATACGTGCAGCCTGGAATAAATGGCATCTCCTTGCCTCTATATTGATGCGGCGTGACGTCCCACTACCACTACGATCAAGACTATATAAATCTGTGATACGTCCGGTCTTGTTATATGGTGCAGAAACATGGAAAATGACAACCAAACTGGAACAACAACTTCAACGAACCGACATGAAAATGCTCCGATGGATGCAACGAATTAGTCTGAAGGACCACATCAAATCTACCGAAATTCTTCGTCGTGCTGGTTTAGATGATATAAAGGACGAATGCCGGCAACACCATCTGCGGTGGTTTGGTCATGTCAAACAAAGTGGAAACAGTGCCATAACTTCTCTTGCAGATGTTTAAGTACCTGGCACACGTCCCAAAGACCGTCCAAAGAAGTCCTGGTCGCAAACAATCGAGCAAGACATGAAAGCTCTAAATTTAAATGAAATGGATACAACTGATCGTCTAATTTGGCGCAAAAAGTTGATGGCAAAGAAAACAACGTCCTACCTCGGGAAACCGGGTCTCTGGACGCAAAACGAAGATTGATTGATTGATTTCTAACTTTATCTGTACAAATTTTTAAAAAAGACTGTGCAGTATTCTTAGTGGCACCCTAGAAAACATCTGTAAAAATATCTTTAAATAACATTCCACAGTTGTTTCTAGTTACAATTAGCCTATTATCAATCAGCCTATTATCAATCACCTCACTAACTCACTAAGTCATCATTTAGTCTATTAATAAGTCATCAAATATATTAATACTCATTAAACTTTTTCTCACACATTCCTAGCCTTTATCTATCGATCACCTCACTAACCCACTAAGTCATCATCTTGTCTATCAATTTGCCGTTACTTCATTTTATATTCCATTGTCAATTACTTTTCTTTTATTTGTCTTGTTATTATTATTTATTTTATTCTAACATATTTTATTTTTCATGTTTTATCATTTCTCTTCCTCACTTTTTGTATTTATTTTCTCACTTATTTGTTTAATTTTGTTTCACTGCCTTGCATGTTGTTACAGTTTCTGCGTCCGTCAGATCCTGATTTTTAATAAAAAAAAAAAAAAAAAATTATAATTATCTAAAAACATACATTTCATAAACACCTATCTAAGTTTCTTTGTTTTCATTCAGCAGATTTATTTTAAACTGAGGTTTTTCCTTGCTGGAAGACAATTTACATCACTCAACACTGGACCAAAGAGCTAATGGCTCTTTTCTACATTGAATTACATGTTGAGAGACAACTTTATCAGCAATTCATTTTACTTCACTGTCAAACTATTGATTTATAAAAATTTCATCAATATCATCACCACTATCACCATTTCACAAATACAACATTCAAAAACGAATGAAGCAAACTTATCAACATTCACACATTCCGGAAAACAAACAACTTTTCTAGAAAAATACAAAATACAATGACAAATCATAAAACTGATAGTAAACACATTTTAACCACAAAACGGTCTGAAAAAAGATCACAAATTAATATCGTGCTTTTTCAGAATAGAAGGAAATATTGAAAAAAACCCAAGTAATGAGAGAATGTGGCGATGAGCGACAGCAATATTAAAATATACCACAACAATGATTTGTAAAACATTCAAGAGATATAAATATAAATATTAAAGTAAGCTTTAGTATTATTTAATAATAATAAAAAATACTTTAATAATATTAAAGTATTTAGTTGAGCTTGAGTCTGCGAAACTATTAAACTGTTGAGTTTTCATTGCTATGGTTAACTAAGTATCCCCTTTAGCTTTAGGCCTACAGACTGAAACAAATATTTTTCTTCCATTAAGCCTGACCTTTTTCTTCATCTTATGTCATTAATTCTTATAATTGTATTTATACAATTTCATTACCTTTAGATAACTAGAAACTTTAAACATGTTGAATGCAAATTATCATTATATCTAGTTTTAAACTTAACTAAATTTTATTCCATTTTTATTTTCATTGCAAGAAATATAACTTGGAAAACTGCATGCAATAAATATAACTTGGAAAACCACTAACACTCAAAAAATTAAACCAAACTGATTCAACTGAAAGTTCCACATTTCCATGTACTTGGTTCAACCACACAAAATTTTCTTCCATCATTTTCTTTATAAGTAAAATCAATCTCAGTGCCTTCATAAGCCATATTATTCTTTTATTCTACTTTCAAAGAAGTTTCCTAGTAGGTATAGTCTACGCTTCAAGGAATCATTTTATATTTTTTATAAATCTGTTAACAATTTGTTAACCATCTTCATATTGTATCTCAGCAACGTAACAAATAAATTATATCCTGAAAAGTTATGTCAAGAAAATTTTCAAAGCTTATCAGAGCATTTGCATCAAAACTAAAAAAAAAACAAATTCAAGTTTTATCACAATATACTGAAAATATAAAGCATAATCGTATTTTTAAATGACTAACCAACAGTTTTGTTGTCAAATACTTTTGCAATATGAATTTCATTTCTGTACTCAACATCAAAGTTCAACAATCTGGATGGTAGATTAAATCTTTCATGGGAAACCTCACTTGAAGGATCATTTGAAAATAATGTGTTTGAAGAATGAAAAAAATCTGCTGGCTCAATATTTATTAAATTTGAAAAGGGATTATTTGCCAAAACATCTGATAAATGAGAAGCATTGGAAAGTAAATTATGATTGTCTGAAGACATGTTTGCTTCTCCTGAATATTGTGCTGAAGGCAAATTAAATGAATCTTCTAAAGCATGCTGAACAGCTTCCTGTGTAACAAAATAATATTCATCATCACTTAACTGAACATTAAATCAGCAAGTGCAACATTGGAACAAATTATTTTTCCATTGGTTAATTCTATTTCAAATCATGTTTTTCATAATATTTTAAACATTGCATGTAATTTTATTCTAAATATAGCACATAATGTTTTGGCAGGCTTCTGGTGATTGTAATAATTATGAAATTTGAAATAAATTTAAAAATGTAAATTGAAATTTATTTAAAATTTTTAAATTTCCAAAACACTAATAAACGAAAAGAATAACAAGTAACAAACTCTAACAGTTTTTATTGGATATTCATTTAGTTATTTATTTAAACTTAGTTCAGATTTAGCCTTTAGATAGTTTATTAAGTTAGCTTACAGCATCAAATCAACACAACAAGTTCATAATAAAAAAAGTTGATGATATAATAATACCTCCAAATTCCATTCAAATTGTTCCAAAATTGACAAGCACTTTTCGACATCATCTATTCCTGTGAAATTCTGAAAAGATTGTAATTTTATTAATTATAATAAAAAGTTAAAAAGTTAACCATTGTGTTAAGGGGTCCAACTAATTGGTTGAGTTGCTTTATCAGCTGAGTGGTTTTATTTATTTTATTAGCTTTTCACTAAGTGGCTTACACTTAATGCATAAAAAAAATCGTTGAGAGATGAGTAATAACTATAGGTTTTGAAGTTAACAAATATTACCTTAATTGATTGTGAATAATATAATATAATAGATAATAATATTCCCAATCAGCCACCTAATATACTATTCAGCCAATTGGTCAAATCCAGATCCATCAGCAAATAAAATATTCACAATCAGCCAACATAATATTTACTTTATAATCAACAGCAAACATAACATATAGGGTCTGACCAATTGGCTAAGTGGCTTTATTGACTAAGTGGTAAATTGTAGAAAGATTGCAATTTCATGTTGGCTAATGCTATTAATGTATAATATGTTGGCTGATTAAGATAATATGGTGGCTGATTATGAATACTATGATGGCTAATTGTGAATACTATGATGGCTAATTGTGAATACTATGTTGACTGATTAGGATTTAACAGCGGCTGATTGAAATATTATGGTGATTGATTGGGAATATTATTATAATATCCACAATAAGCCAACATAATATTCACAAACTTCAAAACCTATCTATTGTCAACGATTATGGTGTAATAAGCCAATTAACCTTTCTCAGTCAATTGGTCTGTCAGACCCTAATATTCCCAAAACTTCAAAACCTATTGCCATCTGTCAACTATTTTAATGCAATAAGCCACTCAGCCAATTGGTCTAGGTCTAGTCAAGTCCCTAGTCATTTAGTGCTTATTTATTCTCTTCTTAACAACTTTTAAGAAGAATAAGACAAGCTAAGCTTAGTGTAGGCAGTTTTTTATGCAAGTCATGTTATTTTTTAACAAGATTTTTGCTAATTATATGAAATAAAAATTAGACAGCTAAATAATTGGATAATAAATTTTAAATTTTTACAAAGAACTTTACTTGAAAATCACATAAAATCTGGTCACGATCAGCCATAGCAGCCAGAACTCTGTTTTGTTATTCACTTCAATGCAAAGTAAAATATAAGACAAAACTAGCTTGATGTTCATTCATTGAATTGCACAAAGAGTACGATAAGCCCATAGATAAGCTATATATAAAAATGGAAGCATACTGGACATCCGATTATGTATAATAATTAAAATTATAAAGAACATACAGATGTATATGTATATATATGTATAACATAACATAACATAACATCTAACAATATATATATATATATATATATATATATATATATATATATATATATATATATATATATACAAAACAGAGTTCTGACTGCCATGGCTGAATTCGGAAAATAAGTTTATTTTGAATTTTAATAAACTAAACATTCACCAAAAAACTATAGTAAAAAAAATTGAAAAAACGAACTACAAACATACGCCAAACATTCGGTAGAATTTATAGAATACTGTAAAAATATATACATACATATACATATGTATATTTATATATATATATATATATAATAACTGCACTATGCCATAATATGCAAAACAATAATGCAAAATGTAGGTAACTTTCAGTTTACTATGTTCAAGATTTTTTTTTAAATTTGTCGGATATTTACCTTTTATAAGTTTTGTTTGTTATAGAAAAATTATTTTCGTTCTAGAGAAACAATTTTGTATGTAAAATTCTAAGGAACAAAAAAAAATTCGTTATATAAAGATTTTTTTTGTATAGAAGTTTTATATAAGTATGTTGAAATAGAATTTTGTTTTGATGTCTTGAATTTGTGCATTTATATTAATTCAAAAATTACTCTGGTTACTCAGTCCAGTACTGATTATTTCGCCACTGTTTTTACTGCTGATGATAATATTACTTGTTCCCCAACCGGCGTTACTAACAAATCAAGCTAAAAAGAACAACTTCTGTGGGTCCCGATGGAATACCTAACATTCTACTCAAAATGTGTGCTTCTGGTATAGCTGTTCCACTATGCCACACTTTTAACCCATCTTTTAAAGATAATTCAATACCATCTAAATGGAAGACTGCTATAATCATTCCAGCGAATAAAAATTGTCTAATTATCCCAGCAATTATAGACCGATATCTCTTATCTATTCATCATGCCGTGCCATGGAAAAAATTAATAGAAATTTATTATCGAATTTGTTAGACAACAACTTAATTAATAATTCTCAACAAGAAGGCTGTGATACAATCTGCCTCGATTTTCAGAAACCATTTGACTCTGTTTTTCATGCCAAACTTGCTTGTATACTAAAAGCTCACCTTATAACTGAAAATTTACTGGGCTGGTTGACTGAATTCTTGCATGAGCGTTCATAAAGAGTCCAGATTCAAAATAAACTTTCCCGTTCAGTACTAGTGACAAGTGGTGTTCCTCAAGGCAGCGTTCTCGGACCCACTCTGTTCCTCATTTTTATCAACGATAATGAGGATTGTATTCCCCTGCATCATGTTTCCATGCTGCTTTTTGCGGATGATGTAAAAATGTACTCCCGTACTTCTAACTCAGTTCACTTGCAACAAGTCATCAACAACATTGTCGCTTGGAGTAAACAATGGCAAATGCCACTTTCTCCTAACAAATGCTCTCATTGTTCATTACTTCTTTCATTTGGTAATACATTTGTTAATCAATATACAGTTGATCACCACATCTTGAATCCTTTTGACCACTTTAAAAATCTTGGTGTAATAATCGGCAATTGTTTCAATTTCGGTCGGTACATCAATGACATCACTCATAGAGCGTCTACACTTGCATACCTGATCACCAAATGTTTTACTTCAAGAGATAAAGACATTCTCACCAAAGTTTTCTGCACATAAGTTCGAACATTATTGGAATATTGCTCGTCCGTCTGAAATCCTCACTATAAATACCAACTGACAATGATAGAAAGTATGCAAAGGAGATTCACAAAGTTCATTCCTTCAGTTCGTCATCTTCCGTACACAACTTGTCTGTGCTTAGAGGGATTACAAACATTAGAACATCGCAGACCAATTTCGGACATATGTTTTGTGTACAAAATATTAAACAACGTTATCAGCATTGATTTGAATGATTTGTTTTTTCCCTTATCCTACCAATCAACTCGTGGACATCCTTAGAGACTACGTGAATCTAACTCCGACAGCAAATATCCAGATACTTTTTTGGCAGCAGAATTGTTCGAATATGGAACTCATTGCCTAAGTAAATTGTTTCGTCACCGACATATTTAATTTTCAGTTAAAATAACTTTAGTAAGCCTAAACCAATTTTTAACTATTGTGTGAATATTGAGTATTTCTTTTTCTCTTTCCTATGATTGCGTTTAGGGGATGTGGATTTTGCTCGGGAGATGCATGGGCTAACATTTTGACTCTAACTTATCCTTATACTACTTAAATTGTCATTTCTATATGACTGTTAAAGTGCGTGGAATGGTTTTTTGGTTCGTGTTTGTGTGCATGAATTGTACATTTCTGTTGAATGAAAGGTTTGATTGATTGATTGTTGATTGATTGTATGATCGATCGTCATGCTGACAATGCAACGTTGTTATCATTTTTTTTATGGTTTTTAATTTCGTGGTCACGATATGACATTTTTTTAGTATTGATCTCTTTTTCATTTTCTGCCATTTTGTTTGTTCTTTTTTTCTGACCGGGCAAGTGGTCTGCGTGGTCCTCTGGTCAGTTGCGTAATAAATAAAATAAATAATCAAATAGAGTTTTTGACAAAAGGATGTGTTTCCCGTTAACGTAGATTAAAGTTGGTCAGAAAATCCTTGGACAGTGGAACTTTTTACAGCTTGACACATGCTGGTCTTCTCTTAATAAAGAGAAGACCAGCATGAAACTGTTTTACTGAAACTATTTTTAATAATACCTTATTTTCTGATTTTGATGATTTTGTCTGTGCTTTTAATATCTACATTACTTCTATTCTTGATAAGCTTATTCCTCTTAAATCTTTTACTTATAGGCTATATTCTCGTAAGGCTCCTTGGTTTGATTATGCTTGTGTAGTAGCCAAGAAAAGTCTTAGAAGACTGGAGAAAGCCTATAGGTTAAATCCATCTAAATCTCTTTATTCTATCTATAAATCTGAATTGATTAATTATAAATATCTACTATTCTCTAAACACTCTACTTTTCTTAGAAATTCTATAACATCTGCTTCAACATCTAAAAATAGGTGGTCTGTTCTATCTAAACTTCTACATAAAAAATCTTCTCACTCATCTTTTTCTGCTCAACAGTTTCATGACTTTTTTGTAAATAAAATTACTTCTTTAAGAACATCTAATTCTAGTTTTTCTTCTCATAACTTTACTAAACTTACTACTGAATCTTTCTCTGTATTACTCCAATAAATTTTTTAGAACTAACTAAAATTATTAATTCTATGTCGTCTACAACCTGTTCTCTAGATCTACATCCTTCTAATTTACTTGAAGAATTTTCTTCAATATTTTATCCAATCATTCTCAAATTAGTTAATTTATCTCTTTCCACCTCTAAATTTCCTACTTTTTATAAGAATTCTATTGTTATTCTTATTCTTAAAAACTCATCCCTAGATCCTTTATCTAATTATAGACCTGTAACTAATATTACTTTCATCTCTAAAATAATAGAAAAAGTTGTTTTAATCAACTGTCATCCTATTTAGACTTTAACTCTTTGCTACCTGTATCTCAATCTGGTTTCAGACCTGCTCACAGTACTGAAACTTCTTTACTTAAAATACACAATGATATCCTTCTCTCTAGTGACAATAGTAATTTTACTCTTCTTCTTGCTCTTGACTTTTTCTCAGCTTTTGATACTGTTGACCATACTATTCTCTTGAGACTGCTGCATCTTTCTTTTAATATTACTGATTCTTGTCTATCTTGGTTTTCTTCTTATCTCTGTAATCGTTTTTCTCTTCTGTTGTTCTCAATAATTCTACTTCTAACTCCTCTACTCTTACTTTCGGGGTATCTCAGGGTTCTATCCTTGGCCCTCTTCTATTTATACTCTATACTTCTGAACTACCTCGTATTATTAATAACTTTTCTTTCTCTAGTCAACTATATGCTGGTGATTCTTATATTTATACTTCTTTTCCTCCATCTAATCTCAATAGTGTTCTTCATAATTTATCTCTATGTCTTTCTTCGATTATCGCTTGGTCTGATTCTATGTGTCTTAAACTTAATCCTTCTAAGTTTGAATTAATTTGTTTTAATAAATCTAAACACTCAATTACTATTCCTCCTATTATCTTACCTGATTCTAAAACTCTTGATGTCTCTCATAAGTTTCGTAGTCTAGGTTTTATCTTTGATTCTACTATGTCTCTCTCTTCTCAGATTAATAGTGTTGCTAGAAGCTCTTACTTTCATCTACGTAGAATAAAAAAACTTTTGCCTTTTCTTGATGATCCTACTCTTCTCTTTCTTGTTACTTCGTTAGTCTTATCTAGGATTGATTATTGTAACTCGCTCTACTATGGTCTTCCTGACTCTATACTCTATCCTTTAAGTAAAGCTTTTAACTCTGCTGCTCGTCTAGTTGCTCGTGTCCCTTTCTTTTCTCATATATCTCCATATCTTGTTCTCTTGCACTGGCTACCTATAAAATATAGAATAATTTTTAAAATTTGCACGTTCATGTATAAGTCTCAATCTAAATTATTTCCTAAGTATTTATCAGATATATTAAATGAACCTAAACGCCCCGGTTTACGATCGTCTTCTTCTTCTCGCTT